GGGTATAGCTGTGTTTGGCGTGGCCCATCCCAGACTCCTGCTCTAGAGAACGGAACCGGCAGGTGAATCACCATAGACCGGGAGTGACCTCGGCCCTCCACCAACCCTCCTGTCTGATGGTCATCAGGAAGACGAGCCGCCTGTCACCTACTGGAGGACATAAACTAGGACCTGAAGGAACTGGCCGGGAGCCAGTGTTCTCCAGAGTTCTTGGCTCTGTCCCTGGTTCTTGCCACCCCACTGCTGTGTTCAGGTGTGAGCCAGAACCTTGCTAGAACCAGGGCTTGGGGTCCCCTGCACTGGCTGGGCAGCCCTGTCTTCCCTTCTTGGTTTCTAGTTCACGGTTTCTTTTTTGACAGAAGCTGGGATGGGCGGGGTGGGAATTCTTCTCGAAGCAGTATGGACTCTCAGTCTTCACCCCCTCTCAGGAGGCCCTCCTGGGACCATGGGGGCCTCTTGGGCTTGAGGGGGGCTTCAGAGCAGCTTCGACTTCCTGCTCGTCGGTGGCCGTGTGAGGTAACCCGCAGCAGCCAGTGGGGCTCATTCCCTAAAGTGCTTTCCAGGTGGAGATGCTCCGGAGAAGTTGCAGGTGGTCTGAAAGAACTTTCTAACTTGACCTCAGCCGGGCCTGTCACTGTGGGTGGCAGATGACATCCGTGTGTGAGGTCGGGGTTGCTGAGCTGCATAAGGCCTCGGCTGGAGGAGATAGCAGGCCTGCCCAGCCACTCACCCAGCCGGACCATCGTCTAGCTGGAGGTCCTGCTGAGAAGTGGGGGAGGGGGGCTGCCTTTTCTTTGTATATGGGTTCCCCTGGTTCCAGCACGCTTGCAAACCCTACCCCGCAGGCACTTCCCCCACCTTGACTGAACTAGCTTCAGGTCCGAGATCACTTGTAGGCATTGAAAAGCCCAGGTACTTTGTTTTCATGGTGGGGTCCCAGGGCCAGCATGCGACACCTCACTGAGAAGGCCAGGCCACCCCAGCCGTGGTGCCCAGGGCATCTGCCGCAGGGCTGCTTTCCTTCCCCATTTGCCTACAGAAATGAAACTTTAGAAGTTGCTAATCAGACAGAACCTGGGAAGGTGTCCCATTCTTCTCACAGGGTCTCCTGGCTCAGGGGTCCGTGGGACTCAGAGGTGTGGTCGGTGTGCACAGCTTTGCATTGGTTGCTACCATTTGAAAATCAGCTATTTTGTTTATTTATTTAAGATTTTATTTACTTATTTATTTGAGAGAGAGAGAGATTGAACACGAGCAAGGGGAGAGGGAGAGGGAGACTCACCGCTGAGCAGAGAGCCCAGTGTGGGGCTCTATCCTAGGACCCCAAGATCATGACCTGAGCTAAAAAGTCAGACGTTTAACTGACTGAGCCACCTGGGTGCCCCAAATTAGCTATTTTAAGATAAAGATCCAGATTTTTTTTTTCCATTATTTTCTATTTCTTTTCTCGAAAGAGGGGGAGAGAGCAGTGAGGGGGAGGGGCAGAGGGAGGGAGAGAGTCTTAAGCCAGCTCCATACCCAGCACTGAGCCCAACGCAGGGCTTGGACTCACAACCCCTGAGATCAAGACCTGAGCCAAAATCAAGAGCCAGGTACCAAATCCACTGAGCCACCCAGGCACCCCCAGATTTCCTTATAGTGAGATCTGACAACCCTCCCATTGCCTCCCCTCAGACCCCAACACTGAGCGAAGGCAGAGGGTGGGTTTCTGATTAGCATTGACCTGGCTGCTGTTGGCTTTCTGTCCAGTAAAGAAGTGTCTTTACTACTTTTGTCTCTAATAAAAGACAGATGGGAGGGCCACATCCTCACTGGTCTCGAGTCTTCCCATGGCCCCGCCCTGAAGCTTGTGTATTTGAAACCCTACTCCTCCAGGTAACGGGCTGACGGGCTGACGTGTAGATAGCTTTTTTGGCTGCAGCTTTTAGGTAGAGTGGAGTGGTCCTTCTCCCCACTGCAGTGATCCAACTCTGTAGCAGGGGGTAGGGGTTCGGAGATGGAAGGAGCAGTCAGAAATGACGACCGTGACCGTGTGCTAGCACTCTCATGTCCTAGACGGACGTGTGCTCTTCACACCTCGAGAAGGCCTGTCCTGGGAGAGGGGGCAGCAGCTTCAACTGTAAGTGGGACCCTGGATTGGCTCTTCTGTCCCAGTCCCCCCACCTCCCCCCCCAGTTTTGTCTTCGCTGACCCCTGGTTTGAAAATGGAGCATAAAGAGAGCAGAGGAGAAGGAAGGTGGCCTCTGCTGCCTCCTTCCTGTGCTGTGGGCTGATCCATGAAGCCTCCTGGCAATGGGAGAAACTTTCCACTAATTCGAAGCTTGAAGGGAGTATCTTTTTTCTTCCTTTTTTTTTTTTTTTTTTAAAGGAATGAATTTGAATGTATTCTTTCTCTTTCCTAGGTGGTTACTTTACTTCAATAAAGAACAAAGAATTTCCATTTCATAGTGTAGTTGGGGTTTTACTTTTTTTCCAGAAGGCAGATAGAAATTAATTCCTTTAATTTACTTTGAAAAAAATTGTTTTCCCTCAGGGTAGCTGTTGCCTCCCAAGCCTGTGACAGGTTGAGGAATGGCAGTGGGGGGAGGGGGGGAATAATTGAAGGAGCTTGGGATCCCACACAGGTAGGAGTGGAGTTCCTTAGATTGCCCTGCCTGAGGTCCCTGGGACTCCGGCAGGTGCACCTCACCCGTCCTTGGCTGAATTGTGTTGAGCTGCGAGAGTATGCAGGGTACTGGGCACGTTGTCCTGGCAGGTGGTTTGTCATAATAAACGAACTTACTTTGTTTGAGAAGTGGAAACTTGGTGTGGGTGGGGAGGAGAGGAATAGAAAGACCGAATGGAAGGAAGAAAATCCCTATTTGCATGATAATTTGGGGATTTGGGTTTCTAGGCTTGTCTCTGAATCTCTGTTCTGGAGAACTGCTGAGTCATCACGGGGGGGGCGGCGGTTGGGGGGATACACATTTGGTGAGCATGGAGGACACTCCAGGGCAGGGTGGTGGGTCGTTTCGTGCAGGTGTGTAAAGGTCAACGTCACCGCCATTGGTTTGGGACAATATTGCCAAATCGGTTTTCACAGTAGAGGGAAGGGGAAAGATGTCAAAACTGCATTTTGATGAAGAGTGCCTCAGAGGCCAATAAAGGGAACCACATGGATTAAACAAAGCTGCTTGCTGGGGACATTTATCTGACCAGTCTCCTGTCTGTGCTGTTACCAGCGGTTTCCTGTGATGTTCTTGTTTTATCATCTGGAAGAATTTCTGACAACCAAGGGCTTGTCCAGTCAATGATGAGCTGTTTGGTGCATATTTCGTATCTATTTTTCCAAATTTCAATGTGAATGCTCTAAACAGCTAGGAGATTCTTGTCCACGGTCCTGGAGATCGAAGAATATACAGACAAGACACGGGGCGGGGGTGTGAAATATGGCAAGACCCCAGGCCCCAGCGGGGTCCCCCACCACCAGCATCGCAAAAACCCCCCAGACTATTGCTCTAAGGACTCACAGCCAGTATCTCCTGTCAGCTTCAGTGTCGATGCCTGAGTCTACGATTTACAGCAGCATGAATGGACAATACCTCTTGTAGAAGAAAATCACACCGCTTGCTGACATCAATGAAAATGAGCTTAGATTCTGAAGAACTACAAGTTTATGTGAATCATTTGAGGTGGGATGTGTGGCCTTCCCTGACATAGAATATCTAGAAAATCTAGAAAGGGGCTGAAAAAGAAGAAGAAAAATCCTGATCCCCAATCCCACCCTCCCTTCCCTGCCACCCATCAGGTAGCTCTTGGAGCTTTCTTTATGGCGCTAAGCCATATTATATTGCTTTGCAATGACTTGTTTTGTTTTTTGTTTTTTGTTTTTTGTTTTTTAATGTCAGTCACTGGAGGACAGAGACGCATGCCATCTTTCCGTGTGTTTGCTCCAGCCTGGGTATCCCACGTGCCTCAGAGTGGTCAGAGCTGGAAGGATTTCCTTCCTCCTTGATGAGAGAAGAAAGAGCACAAGCTTTGAAGTCAGGCCTTGATTCAAATATTCCCTCTCTGTATTAGTTTTCTGTTGCTGTATAACAAATAACCACAAACACAGCATCTTAAAACATCCCCATTTCTTAGCTCACAGTTCTGTAGGAGGAGAAGGAGATAGAGGGGCTCAGGCCAGCTCAGCTAGCTTCCCAGTGTAGGATCTCATCGGGCCCAAGATTTTAAGGTGTCAGCAAGGCTGGCCTTTTATCTGGAAGCTTTGGGAAGGAGCCGCGTCTAGGTGCGTACAGGTTGTTGGCAGAAGCCAGTCCCTTCTGCCTGTAGGTCTGAGGCTCCCTTTCCCTTGCAGGTCAGCCAGGGGCCACTCTGTTCTGGAGGCCCCCTGCGTCCTTTCTCATGTGGGGCCTCCATCCTTGAAGTCACATAGAGTCCTTGTCACACCTCTGTCTCTCCCTTCCTCTCTGCTGCTTTGAACCCTGGAAAGGTTTTGACTGGGTATTAAATAAGGCGAGGTTGCAAGGTCCTGGACGGTGCTTGGTGAGGGTTCATTCTTTTTAATCCTTCTCTCCTTAAGCCAGTTTTATTTGGAATCTATCTTGTCTAATTCAGATACAGCAGAATTTCAAAGGGCTATCTCTGTCTGAAGTTTGTCATTCTCAAAAGTTGTCGTGATTCGTCATTTTTCTGTCCAGAGGCACAAAAAGAAACAAGCAGGCAACGTGCCCTCATCGTAACTTGGCTGTTTTTTCTGTCCTTCCCCCACCCCAGCCCTGGAGTTCCAGCGTCCAAGCTCAGCTGCTGTCTCTGGGAGCGCTGGGGGTGGGGGCGAGAGCTGGCTGCCTATGTCCTCTCGCAAGTGGTGGCTTCTGGTCCGCAGGCCGGCCTGCCAGCACCTGGTCCCTGCCACTCAGCGGAGGAGCCCAGCCCAGGCCACAGAGAGGCTGAGGAGGGCGCCAGGGCCGGCCTGAGTGCTCACCAGCTCTCCGTCTGTCCCTTCTGTGCTCCCTCAGGAGATCCTCAGCGAGCTCACGCTGGATGCCCTGCTGGACATGAACGAGGTCAAGGTGAAGGAGACGCTTCGGCGCTACGGGGCCAGTGCCGAGGAGTGTGGCCGTCTGCAGTACGCCCTTGCCTGCCTGCGGAAAGTGACAGGTCTGGGTAGGTAGGACCGGCCTCCCCAGTGTGGAGGCCAGCCCCGTCAGCTCCCTCTTCCTCCACCCAGTTTAGAACACCAGGCTGCCCTCTCCAGGCCTATCCTGATTCCCTGGGGCCACTGACGGGGGTGGGGTGAGTGTGACCCCGGGTTTCTGGGGCAGCTTGGAAAGGCCAGAGTGTGTGTGATTGGTCTGATCTGAGATAGAGGCTTTGCCTCCCGACTGCTCTGGCTAGGAAGGACCCAGGGAAGCGTTTACTATCATCAGAGACCTTAGTCTGGTCCACTGGGTGGGCCCTGTGTGATTTCCCCTCTTTTGAGCACATGCGTGGGGCTCTGAACCCTCCCTCGGCTCCCTGCATTCTAGCCCCCTCCCCACCTGGGCTCACCTCACCCCCAGCCTGCTCCCTGCTTTCTCCTGTCTCCACCAGCTGCTGGTTGTGTGCTCAGAAGGCAGAAGTACGATGAGAGAAATTGTGTGATGTTTCAGCTGTGAGTGTGTGCATGGCTGCCCCAGGCAAAGTGTGTCATCCTGGATTTACAAGGAGTTCCTTGGGAATTATTTCCAGGGTTTTTAAATCTTGCCTTGGAAGCTTTAAATGTCATGATTTCAGGTTGCCACCACACCGAGAAGACTTTACAGTGAACCTGATGAAAGGAATTAGTCCCATTTTTTAATGATCTGAGCCACCTGTCTTATTTCTGGCTGCCTGAGGCTTAAGGAAGCTACTGAACTTTATATTCTGCTTGATTTTTCCCCCCACAGAGGATTGGGCTTGATTTTTTTTCCCCCCCCGGACCCCACTGTCCCAAGTTCTCCTCTGAACGCAGAGCCCCGTATGGAGTGCTCCGCTTAGTTCCGAAGACCTCAATAGGCCAGGCCTCCCAGCAGGGGTCCAAGAATAAACATTTGAGGGACCTAGTCCGCATTCTCATGCCCACATTTTACAGAGGGGACTGAGCCTGGATTCAGGAAAGGGCTTTGCCGAGGACACACAGCACTGGGTGGCAGAGCTGGGGTTCCAGCCCCAGTCTCTGTGATTGACTAGCTTGTTTTCACATTGGGGAAATTCAGAAGTACTTGCCACCCAAGCTGGACCAGGGTGGGTAACTTGTCGGCCTTCCCTCCTTAAGCCTGAGTGGTAAAAGAACGGTGAAGGAGCCAGCACTCGGAAGGGTGGTGACCTGTTTGTGTTGGGAGGGTGACGGCCCGTCCTGGGTGCCAAGCTAGGGGGATCACCAACTCATTAAGTGCTAATTTATGAAGCCAGGCACTTGGCCTGTGTATGGTAACACCTTTCTCAGTGGTGGTGGGGAGCGCCTCTTGTGGCTAAAGCATCAGAGGCATGGGGTCCCACACCGGGCGTGCCCCAGAGCTGGGTTTCTTCCTCAGAGGGAACTTTTCTGCTCTGCCCTGGAAGAGGCCTCTGGGGGAAGATAAGGTCTTTTCCACATCCTTCTCATCTGGTCTTAGCTTATGGACCCTGTGTCCACAAGAGGGTCCTGGCCACACTCTACCCAAATGAGTCTGCCCAGCGGGGGCCTTCTGGGGACCAGCTGGGTACTGCCATCACCTTGCCTCTTAGGTCACGTGGTCAAAGTCTTTATTGCAACTAACAGGCCTTGGGGAGGGCAGTCTAGTGGTGGTTAAAGATGGACCACGGAATCCATGTGCCTGGGCCCAACACTCTCACGGGACCTTGGTCTGTGACTTCACCCCCACTGTGCCTCAGTTTCCTCATCTGTACAGTGGAGGTCATAATAGCATTCTCTCATCATGTTGTTGTGAGGATGAAATGAGCGAAGGTCAAGCGCTTTGACCAGAGCCTGACATATATTAGAGCTCTTTTCAGAATTGGGCTTGCGGGGTCATGGAAAATGTTGAACACATTTGCCTTTTGAGGCCCCTGGTCTTCAGGAAGGCAAGTGAGGAATGGTTCGCTGATGGCTGGTGAACAAAGACGATGATCTCTGCTGATGTTTCATGTCCCTCGTCCATAGCACATGTCTCATCACTACCCAGCCCTTCCTACTAAGGGACTCCCGTCCTTCTCGAGAGCCACTGCCGTTTAACTGGTGTTGGCATGTGCATCAAGACCCATGTGCCGTCCCTGGGCGGCTCAGAGCAGCAGATTTCCAGTGGGCAATGGGAAGAGCCTGGGACTCGTTTCATTGGGGGGCACATTTGCACAGGGAAGGTGGAACTCGCTCTTCCGTGCCCTCAGTGAGAGCCAGGCCAGAGCCTCTAGGAGGCCAGTCTCTAAGTCACAGTTGTGGCTGCAGGTTCTACAAGAGCAAACACAAGGAACACATGGACTGAGTCACTCCCTCCATGGAGCTGATTCCTGAGGAGAAAGTCCGAGGCAGTGAGATAGGGAGAAGGGTCCTCGAGGAGGGAGGACATGTGCAGAGCCCCTGAGCATTGTGAAGGCCATTGTCTCTCCACCGTCCCGGATAAATGGCTGTCCGGGCTGGGCCGGAGCACCTCTGATGACAGAGAGCTCTGTAGCTCAGCAGGCCGGGCCATATTTGTGGGATGTTTAGGATAGACAGCCTTGAGGAAGGAGGCCTAGCGCAGCGGTCGGGACCAAGGGCGCTGTTCCCGTCCCACTCATGCTTAGCCGCCTGACCTCGTCAGTGTTCCTGGCCTCCCTGACGTGCTGGGAAGACTGAGTGAGACAGGGGAGAAAGCACGACGTGGAATAACTCCACTGCAGAAGTCTGTTTTGTCTTGAGTCAACACCTACCTTCGCGTACTTTCCCCTCACTGGTGAAATAAGGACGGTGTCTTTTCCTTTCGCACCAAGGGGTCCCTGTAGATGGGCTGCTTTCTCCCTGCCCCCTGACCTTTGGTATCTCCCCATTCTTTATAAGCTTCAACCTAAAGTCCTTTGTGAGGCCTCCGAGACCTCCTGAGGAGGCCTCTTGCATCTCTCTGGCTCATCCTGACCTCTCCAGGCATGAGGAACTCACCGTAGTCACCAGAAGCCGCCGTGTGCTCCGTGCCTTTGCATGTGCTATTTCCTCTGCCTCGTGTCCCTGCTTCACCTTCTCCATGCAGTGCAGGCCAGGTGCTGCCTCCTCTAGGAAGCCCCCGACCTCCAGGCTAGTTAGGGTCCCCCTCCTCCGTGCTCCCTCAGGACCTGGGCATCTCTGTCTCAGCACACTGCTGTCCTCTTCTTTGGACTTTTGAGCACAGTGGATGCCTTTTTTCATGGCCTGACACCCGGCCTCCAGCATAAGCTCGAATGAATGGACAGACTGAGCCGTTGAGTTGGAACTGCCCAGAGCCTCAAGGGGTCCACTGTGTGGGCAGCCGTAAGTCCCGGGCTCCTCTCTGAAGGAATTGGCTGTTGATGGTCTTCGAACTGGATCTCTTTCCTAGCAAATTCCTGGGGCTACGGGAAAGGTTACTACGCCCCCTTTCCCGGTGTTTGAATTTTCTTGATACGGAGTTATCCCCTTTGAGCACCCCAGCTTCCCCTTCCTGCCTCTTCAAGATCAGTTACTACTTCCCTCTCTAAGGTCACCCGTTTTGGGGTTGGGTTCCCCGGCTTGCTCCCCACAGACCTGCCAGCAAGAACTCTGGATGAGCCATTCTGTTTCCTATAAAATGGGCACAGTAGTATCTGAGCCCATGGCCTCAGAGTCACAGATGACATGGGAGGTGATGTGTGTGCACGAGAGGCCCGTATAAAGACTGGGAGGGGGCTGTGGCAGCCCTGGGCAAGGTGTTACCGTCTTGGGGCCCTGGCCACCTCACCGCTAGCTAGTAAGTCCCTCTAGCTCTGACCCTCGGTGACTCGACTTCTTGGCCCACAGGAGGGGAGCACAAAGAGGACTCAGGCTGGAGTTCATTGGATGCCCGGCGGGAAAGCGGCTCAGGGCCTTCTGCGGACACCGTCTTGCCAGCTGGCCTGCCCTGGCCGCCAGGGGGCGCTCCGCCGGGCAGAATGGGCGGCAGCACCCAGGGCCCACGCTCCGTGTCTGTGTCCGCTTTGCCCACCTCGGACTCCCCGGTCCCGGGCTCCTGCGAGGGCCTCTCGGACACCTGTGTCCTCCTGCACACCAGCGGCCGGCTGACCCCCCGGGCCCTGCACAGCTTCATCACGCCCCCGACCACACCCCAGCTGCGAAGGCACACCAAGCTGAAGCCGCCGCGGACGCCGCCGCCGCCCAGCCGCAAGGTCTTTCAGCTGCTGCCCAGCTTCCCCACGCTCACCCGGAGCAAGTCCCATGAGTCTCAGCTGGGGAACCGCATCGACGAGGTCTCCCCGATGAGGTGAGTGTTCCTGCCAGGCTGGTGCTCAGTGTGCTGCCCCACGGAAGTTCTGTTCACAGTTTTCTCATCATAAAGGGAGTGCGGGCTTTATTTTCAAAGGACCAAAAAAAAAAAAAAAAAAAAAATCAGTCAACCTAGAAGGGTGCGAAGTGAACAGTGCCTCGGTGTCTCAGACCACACTCCGGGCTTCTTTAGCACTTTGGGCTGAATCCTGCCTGCTAGGTTCTTTCTGTGTGCGCGCGCGCACTCGGACTGGTACCATGCATCAGTCAGGATAGACTGGGTCACGCGGCGGTAACAACCCCTAGCTCTCCGGGTCTTAAAACAAGAAAGATTGATTTCTTGCTCATGCAACTTGCCCACTGTGGGTGGGCCTCACTCCAGGTCCCAGGCTGACAGAACAGCCACTTTGTGGAACATTGTCTGGAACCTTCTGCAGAGGAAAAAAGAATTTCAACGTTACATGCTGGTAATCACGTGCTTTTTCCTGCAAGTTCCATTCACGATGCACGGCTCCACCCAAACAAAGGAACCAAGAAATGTCATTCTCCTGTGTACCCAGATGGGGAGAACTAGAATATCTGGCTGGAACGTCTCATGATTATCAGATATCATGTACTCTGTTCTAGAACCTGTCTCTTTTCCTCTGAAGATTTATTCATTTATTTGAGAGAGAGAGAAGGCACACAAACACAAGCTAGGGTAGGCCAAAGGGAGAGGGAGAGAGAATCCCCAGCAGACTCCCCACTGAGCACAGTCTGACGCGGGACTCGATCTCACGACCCTGAAATCACGACCCGAGCTGAAACCAAGAGTTGGACGCCCAACCGACTGAGCCACCCAGGTGCCCCAACCTGGGTGGCTTTTTTTCCACTTACCTTGATATCTAAGAACTTAATGACTTTACATCTTAAAATATCTTACTCTTTTACATTAAAAAAATTCTTTTTTTTTTTTTTTTAAGATTTTATTTATTTGACAGACAGAGATCACAAGTAGGCAGAGAGAGGGGGGTGGAAAGCAGGCTCCCCACTAAGCAGAGAGCCCAGTGCGGGGCTCGATCCCAGGACCCTGGAATCATGACCCGAGCTGAAGACAGAGGCTTTAACTCACTGAGCCACCGAGGCGCCCCCATAAAAAACATTCTTAACCTAGGTACTTAAACAGGTACTAATGGTGACATGGTCCAAGACGCAGAAGCTTCATAGCTCTTGTAGCTTGGAGGGGCCGACAGTGTGCAGTTTCCCCACCATTTTTCCTCAGTCACCCCATTCCCCTCGCAGAGCCAGCCGGATTATCAATTTTGTATATACCTATAATTATTCAAACTACCTCATTTTTTTAACTTCTTCATCTCATTGCATCTGTAGTTTAACTATCTCCTCCCCTTCTGACAGACCTTCAGGTCACTATTGGTTTTGCTTTTATAAGAATTGCCCTCACCAGTGTACTCTCGTGGGCAGGGCAGAGGGGAAGCAGGGAGTCCTCTCTGGGTGCCTCCTACCTTCTTGTACCTCTGAGGGTCGGGGACTTGGCTTTTCTTCTGACATGGGCTCTCCTTTTCTGGTCTTGAGTAGGCTTGCTCCCCATGTCCCAGTACAGGCTGTCCTGGGTCCCCTATGGGATGGGCGCTGGACATCTCTGATGGTTTTAAGTATACATCACCCAAGGAGAGAAATCTGTGCTGTGACGTGCCGTGCCCCTCCTCATCAGCCTGTCCTGCCGGGGCCTGGTCGTCTCCCCCAGTCCTCCAGAAGGGGCCGCAGCCTTCTTCCCCTTCTGGGTCCTCCTGTCCCAGAGAGCACAGTGTAACTACTGTGAGGACACAGGACATGGGTAATCAGAGGTCATCTTAGTGAGTAAAGCCGGTGCGTCTGTTTCTCGTTTTCCCCTGAGAAGAGCGTCAGAAGGGCTGTGGTCTCATTCTGGGCTCTGGGTGGAGAACAGACCCTCAGGCAAGTGACCCCATAGCTGGTGAGCTGGGCCTCACCCTGGGATTCTGAGTCAGGTCCACACAGAGCCACTTGGGCTAGCACTGACATGGACACTCAGGCTATCTTGCTGCTCTCAGTGAGCCCAGAGGGCAGACCAAGTGGTCTGGGGCTCCCCTCATTTTCTTTGTCGCTGGGATAGCAGCACCCCCTGGGGAGGCTTGCTTGGGGCATGTCCCCACCTGGCCCTTCTTGAGGGCCCCCTCGCTCTTCTCAGGACTGTTCTCCTCATCCTCCTGCTCCATCCACATCCCCTTCTCCTGCCTGGACCCTGAGCACCCCTCCCCCTCCCCGCAGACTATGCCCCCATAGTCTGGGCAGTGTGTCCCTGCTTGTGGGCGTTTGACCTCAGGAGACTGTGAGGCTGTTTGCTCAGTGGCGAAGCAGAGTGAACCCTACCAGTTGGCATGGCTGGTGAGACTTGGACAAGCTGACATAGGAAGCACGCAGCACAGGGGTAGTTCCAGTGCCCCTGGCGGGAACTTCTAGCCCTTTCCATTGAGGAACCGTCCTTACAATCACACAGCCGGCCTGGCCCCATGCACCAGGGGCTTGAAGCCCTTACCTGAGCATGTCGCCTGCTCCCTCCCAAGGGGGAAGGTTCTGGGGAACATGCTGAGACAGCATAGTGATGTCATGCCACTTTCTCTCTTTTTTGTCTCCTGCAGGTTTGGTAAGAGTGATTCATTTTCATCCCTTCTGCCACCCGGGAATCGTGTTTATGTCGCCGTCCCCGTCAGGGGTGGATTTCCTTGACCCTCAGCCCACTCCAGCCTTTCCACTGTCTAGAAGCGGAGGTGCTGGGATCGCCTCAGGAAGTAGCTCTAGGACAGGTGGCCTCCGCCCAGCCAGGAGCCTCTGTCTGTGAACCAGGGGCCTGGAGAGCATCATGGGCTGTGGACAGTTCCCACTCAGGCCCTCTCTGTCCCTGGCCATCCCCACAGGTGACCTCTGGCAGGGAGCCTTGTATGCTGGGCTTTTGCGGTCATGTGGAGGCACGCGGCCATCAGTCTGGTGTAGGTGGATATTAGCTGATGTATGGGCACCCCTCTTCTCAGGAGAGAGGCAACCCAGAGACAGGAATGTGGCTTGACTCTACACGAGGCCCCAAGAGATGGGGGGGTGCCTTTCTCTACCTGTCCACCTCGAGGCTGGATGCAGGTCTTGCACTGGGCTGCGCTGTGGGCCTTTTCTTTCTTGAGTCAGAGCAGAGGGCAAAGACCTTGGCTCTGGGGTCTGCTTTGGATCATCTCTGTGCAAATACAGAGACGTCTGGTTTGGGCCTGAGTGAAAGAGCCATTTATTTTTGTCCTATCCTGAGCTGGCTGAGCGCAGTGACGGAGCTGTGGGTGAGGGGCGGGGGGGGCGGTGGGGACAGGATAGGAGTCCGGAGCTCTGCCGAAATGAAGTTGGCTGCCGGCCCCCAACGGGGGCATAGGGTAAGCAAGGAGGGAGGCTGTACAGCCCCTTCCCTGGGGCACAGGCACAAACCTCAGGGCCCTCCTCAGAGCCTCGGGGGAGAATCCAGCGCCCATATCCCTAGGACAACCCATCCCATCCACCGCCCTGTAACAGCAGGGACCGCAGCAGTGGGACTACTTGCTTAGTGGCAAGACAAGGTCTTCAGGGTGAGGATTTCCTCTAGATCCAGGGTACTTGGTGTCTGGCCCATGTGTTATTTCCCTTCCCCGATTGTACGGACACTGCAGACATTGCAGGTCAACCGTAGGTGGTATATATGGTTGAAATCTCATTCTTCCATAGTCCGATTCTTAGACCGGCAGCCTGAGCCCTTCTGGACCCATGTGCTTTGCTGGCCTTGGCTGCTCACAGTGACGTGAGTCCCAGGAGGGAACTGGGACAGGTCAGCCTCAGGTCAGATGTGCCAGAGAGAGCTAGGGTGGTGTGCTGGTGGATTTCTGAATCATCACCGGGTAGCGGGGGGCACTTTGGTCCTGATCAGACTCCCCTTGGTGGGGGAGAAGGAGTCAGCACCTCCAGCTGGCCCTTCTCTATGTGCTCAGGTATAGGATCCTTGGCATTAAGTGACCCAGCACTTAATGAGCTCTGAGTGTATGCCTGGCCAGCATATGGGGACAGGTGCAGAGTGGGGGGCGGGGTTGTTGCTGACTCCGAGGACCCGAGACAGCCACAGATCCCTCAGGCACCAAGTTCCTGATTTTTCTGGGTTATGGTTCCTTTCGATAACTGGATAAAAGTTTAAACCCTCCTTCCAGGGAAAAGCCCACGAAATTTAGCAATCCAGAGGATTTCTCAGAACCCCTGAAGCCCACCAGAACTCAGTTGAGAACCCCTCCTCCTCCAGGGGGAGCTAGGCAGTGCTAAATCAGGGCAGAAGCAGGACGGAGGAGGGTGGGGAGGCCAGGGCAGGAGGCAGTGGGACATGGGGGCTGCTGGTAGATGGAGGGGTTGCCCCCAACCACTCTTCCCCTTCCTGACCTGTAAGGCCTGAACACTGAGGGTGCTGTTTTGTCTTTTTTAAAAAGATTTTATTTATTTATTCGGGAGAGAGATCACAAGTAGGCAGAGCAGCAGGCAGAGAGAGAGGGGGAAGCAGGCTCCTTGCCGAGCAGAGAGCCCGATGTGGGGCTCAATCCCAGGACCCCGAGATCACAACCCAAGCTGAAGGCAGAGGCTTAACCCACTGAGCCACCCAGAACCCCAGAGGGTGCTGTTTTTATGGGGAACCCAGGATTAGGGCAGGGAGACCTAGGGTGCCCTCCAGGAAGACAGGATGCTTACCCCAAAGCTCGTGGCGTGAGTGCGACCCCTCCAGAAGCCAGTGGGATGGGCCCAGGTAGGGGTGTGGGAAAGCTTTACCTTGACCTTGCTCTCTGCCTGGCGAGACCTGGCACTGGAGGTGCTCAGAGCAAAGTTCTTAAGGTGCTTGCAGCTGTAAAGGTACGGGATGGGCTAACCAGCCTCAAACCCTCTGCTGCTAAGGGCCAGAGACCTCTGACCCACTAAACGAGAGACTCACATTAACCCGTCGCAAACCTGTGATCTGTGGATGCATCTGTGCGGGAGTACAGGAGGTGGATATTGGTGGGGACTCCTGTCCTCACCATTGCTTTGCCTCTTGCCTCTCAAGGCTGCCTCCCCCAGCAGCTAGGAGCCACACGGGGACGGTCTCCATACCATGTGTAGAGACCAGACAGTGATGTTACCAGGAGAAGCAGGGCCAGGCATGAGGGTAACTAGGCCGCCCCATTGGTCTACCTGGCCTGTCCCTGTTCAGGGACACCTTTACTGATCAGTAGGTCCTGTCCCCCACACAGCCTGTGATCTGGGACCTAGAAGGCCACAGACACAGGCCTCCTCAGCCTGCCGGACCTGGCCTCTTTCCCTGCAGATCTTCCACACGGATCCCCACAGATGGTACGAAGGGATATCGGGCTGTCGGTGACTCACAGGTAGGTCCAGCAAGGCTGGGATGGGAAGGGGGCCTGTATGGGCCGGGGCCCCGCACTGAGGGGTCGCTCTTCATTGAGGGGGGAGCGTCTGTCCTGATCCCTGTTCTCAGAGCTCTTTGTCTCCGGTCTGTCCATCACCTCTGTGAACACAGCCCTGCAGCCACCTGGAGCCCCTGCCCATCACCAGTGGCTGTGTGGGCTTGCCGGACCCTCCCTGCCCCTCCATCTGCTGAGGGAAAACACGGGTCTCAGGAGAAACACCATCAAAGTCTTGGGGAAAAGGAGCTAGGAGCTTCCTGCAGGTCCCGTGGGAGACCACCTAGGCCCATGACTCCTGTGGCCCGTCCCTAAAGTTCTCGGCTTGGCAGTCTGTATTTCCAGCAGCTTCTGGGGACTCTGGTGGCTGGTGCGTGTTGGCATGGGCTGACGTGGGCCCATGACATGGACCAGCCCCAGGGCTGGGCCTCAGCACCTGTGAGACTGGTGTGAACCACAAACAGCAGGTCTGTCACGCTGGACAGCCCACAGAACGGCACCTCGGGACGCCTGTGTCCTGGCTGTCCCTGCTAGAGGCCATTGGGAACACAACAGGGCACTATTGCCTGGAGCTTTGCGACTTGCCGGGACCTTTGGTCTCCCCCTGAGCCCGTGAGCTGCAGCTGCAGGGATCCTGGGAGGCTGGCCTGGAATTCTCGCCCAGAGGTGGAGACCCAGCTGGGGCTCTGAGGACTTGAGGAATTTGCCTGAGGTCACACTGCTGGGAAGATAGTGGTTGAGTCCTGTGGCCAGCACCCAGGCCCCTCGGCAGCCTGGTCAGGGCTGATCCCCGTCCCCCGGAATCTCGTGAAAGAGAGACTGTGACACCACTGTGGGGACCGGCCCTTTACAGGAAGGTCCAAGGGCCTCCCTCCGTATGCAGCACCCCCAGTGGGATCGTCGTAGGGCACAAGAGGGAAGCCTGGGTTTGCCCGGCTGCAGACAGGAATCTTAGTCTTGGAGACTCCATTTTCCCCTCTGCAAATGAGACTTCCAGTCCAGTGCTGAGGATGAAAAGGGGTGTCACGCAGCCGAGCTTCACCTTCCAGGCCCTGGGGCGTGTTGGTGTGTGAGCACAGACTCCAGCCCCAGATCCAGTGTGTGAGGGACACCAGGATGGGCTGGCCACTGTTCTGTCTTGGGTGCATCTGGTTTCACAGAGGCTGGGGGGCCGTGGCAGCTCGCCCCCATGTGCTTCCCAGATCACTGCTCCCTTCCCCCTGCAGCAGCGAGGTCCAGAGGCTGCCCCCAAGCAGGGAAGCAGCACCCCTCTTGTCCAGTGTTGCCAGGCTGCCCTGCCTTGCCCCACCCAGGTCCTGGGCTCACAGTCATACCTGCTGGGTTTTTTAAACCCAGGTTCCAGGCCTCTCTCTCTCTCTCTCTCAACAGGAAGGCCTAGCGTTTTAGTCTAATCATGGTCCTTCCCTGGTCTGGGGATGCTTTTACCCCACACCCCACAGCCCTGGCTGGCCCTTCTCAGGCCCAGACCTGACTTCTGTTTTGCCCTGTTTTCAAGATTTCCAAGGGGGGGTTGTGTCAGACACCTCAGCACTGCTCCCCTTATCCCCACCATTTGCACGAGGAGATGAAAGCCCAGAGAGTGCTGTGTATCCCAGAGAGACAGGATTAGGGCTCCTTACAAGGCACGCTGGCGACATGGGTGCCTGTGTCCTAGTCCCTGGACACCTGTGTTGGGCGGGTAGAGACAGCGCTCGTGTGCACTACACATTCGCACACGTGAGCTCTCCAGGTCTCTGCGAGGGGAGCATGTGGGCCTTGTTTGTAGAGGCTCTGAGGCATCCCACAGCCAAGAGGAGCTGGTAGGGTTCACAGTGGAGCGGTCTGACCCCAAAGCCCATGCTCTTTCTCTGTGCTTTGCCTCAGTGGTTTCCCCAAGAAGGTGTGCAGCTCTGAGTTCAGGGACCTGGGGTCTGGACCCCCTATGCAGCATCCCAGCTGTGTGACCTCAGGAAAGTCCCCTAACCTCTCTGGTTCCCTTGCCTGTGTACTAAGAATCTCAGAGCTGCCTAACTCTCTGGGGCTTGTAAGCATCACGTGAGCTCATGCTCATGGATGCATTACCAACCCTTCCCCAAATATTGTTGCTATTTGTTCTATTGTTACTATGATAGACTCCGCTTTCAAAGAACTGTTCCTCCAAAAAAATGTGAGTTCTTTCTGCCCTTTGGCCTCCCCACCCTGTGGACTGCCTTAGACTATCTCTGCCGGGCACCACTCACTCAACCCCTGTCCTTCCTTCCAATCTATCTTTTGTGGGGGTTTTTTTTGTTTTGTTTTGTTTTTGTTTTGTTTTTTTAAAAATTTTGATTTAGTTTGGATTGAAAGATGTTCAGAATTCAGGAGGTATAGAGGGTGTCTGTGTGGTCCCTTCCTGCTGCTGCCCCAGCCCTCTGGGTCCCCCTGTAGGCAGGTCTTGGCAGTTTCTTGAGTTATTTCTGTCCAAGCAAATACAGGTATGTATTATACACACTGTCCTATCCTTTGCTTCTTTTCTTGTAAAGATGGAGGCATCATTACTTAGAGCTGAGGGCACCAGTGCATTTTCACATGTGGATACACCCCTGTGTTCCACCCAGATGAAGCTCCAGAACATTCCAGCCCTCCAAAAAATTGATCTTCGGGCCCTCTGGGAGCATAGCACTACCACCCAGGGGATCCTGTTCACTTCTGTCCTCATTGGTTACTTTTTCCTGTATTTGAACTTCATATAAAAGGAGTCTTGTTGTACTTTTCCCCCGATAATGTAACTTGGAGGTTGTCCCGTATTTGCACAGAATGAGCCTTCTTATTTTATTCTCTGGCCTCATGGTGTCCAGTGGTGTAGTTGAACGGTACTTCGCATCGTCAGCCACCAGCACATCTCAGTACCATGGGCTGTTCAGTCTTTTGCTGCTGCAGGCACACGGCAGGGGGTAACCTTGTCTGTACCTCATTTGCCACCCGTGGGAGTGTTGGTTGGATCGATTCCTATGTTGGGAATTGCTCGGTATGCGCACTTGTAATCTCGATGGCAACTGCCAGAGGGCTGGCATCTGTGACCACACTGAGTTGGGGATTTTGGCAAAGATGACATTGTGGCTGGGAACTCAGAATGCCCAGGGGCAGGCCGTGGGCCTGGGTGTCCCTCCCCTGCTCTGGGAGAGGGCACCAGTGGCTCTGGGATGGGACCTAGTTCCCCGGTTTCCCAGGGGCCATCCCCTGTCCAGGCTCTGGTCTCCCAGCCACACGAGCGTTTTCCTGTGTCCACCTCCCACAGGTTCTCCACCAAATCTTGGCTGTCCCAGGTCTGCCATGTGTGCCAGAAGAGCATGATGTTTGGAGTGAAATGCAAGCACTGCAGGTGACGCATGGAGGGGTGGAAGGGACGGGAGAGGCAAGTGAATACCAAATGTGTAGTTTAGCAAGAGTCCTACTACGTGATTCACCTTGGCCTTAGGTTAAGTCAGAGTTCATGGGAACCGCTTTGAGAGTTCTTGAAGCTACTATTTATAATCCCATTTGGCATCCCATGGTATGTACAGCCCTCTCTAGGGAGATGAAGGAAGCATCATTGAGCCAGGCACTTCCTGAAGAAGAGGAAATTAGAGGTGGGCTTTGAGGGATGAGTAGAAGTTTACCAGAGAGACCAAGGAAGAAAGAGCGTTCTAGGTGTTGTGCCTTGTACAGAGTCTGAGAGGAATGGGAGAACCATTCTGGAAACTATACAGAGTTCTGAAGTTTAGCCTCATATGTTAGCACAGAGATGGGGAGAAGGGTCAGGTGGAGGTGAAAACAGAGATAGCTCTTGGTGTTCACAGAAGAGGAGGGTTGAGGGAGAATGTTGCTTCTCTACAAACGTAGCTTTCTTGTTTTGTGCCATGGTGCTTTCTGGTGGGGCAGAAGGACGAGGAAGGGGACAGCGTGGGGGCAGAGCATCCTCTGTTGCTCATAGAGGGTGAACCTGGAATTTCTGCTCCCAGATCGCTGCCCCTCCATTGCTTTGTGACCTTGGGCAAGCTGCTTGCTCTTTCCTGGGCCTCATTTTCACAATTAGGCAGGTGATTCCAGGTCCTCTCTCTACGAGGCTGCCAGATTCTGAGCTAGTGTGTGTAGGAAAAGCATTTAGGCTCCCACCAGACCAGAAGTGACAGTCTTGTGCATGTTTTTGGATAAATTGTGTTTTCCTGACAGTTCCCCTGACCACCAGGGAGATGCCAGAGCTTTCCACCAGTCTAGATCTGTTGTGGCTCCCGGTTTTAAATTGGGGACCTCCCGCTCCCTTTCGAGCAATGCATTTCACATGGAGACCATAGAATGACCCCTGAGCCCCATGCTCTCTGACGATCGTGGTATGAGAGTTGTAGGGCCCCAGTGTCAACCCATTTGATTGTCAAGGACCCCAAGACAGGGTGCAGCAGACGGGACCAAACAGAGGGCCCAGGTCTTTCCATTTGGGCTTGTGCTGACCCTCAGATCAGACCATGTGTCCCGTGTTGGAACATGGTGGGAAGGGCCACTCCTTGTACCCCTGGGATCCCTTGGTCATTGACACTCTCCTTCTGATTCATCTTTCTTGTAAGTTCAGGGTTTTGTCTCCAGTTTTCTGAATGTGAGTGGAGGGTGTCCTTTTCTTTAGAGAAGAGAAATAGATGTGTGACCCCCAGCAAGATAAAATGGGTACAATTAAAACTGCTTTGCCGTGAAGTCAGGCAGACACCACGGGACCATGTCCCGCTCTACAGACGGCAGCTGCTAGGATGATCGGTGTGGAATATTCCAGACTTTGGGGCTAATGTTTATTGAGGAATGCGTGGAGATCGAGGCAGTCGCGAGTGAGTGCTGCCCGGAGCTTCGGGTGGTGCCTGGAGCCCCCGACGCGTGCCTCGGGAGACCCCAGTGGCCCTCCGTGCACTGACCCTGCCGCCTTCTTTCCCAGATTGAAGTGTCATAACAAGTGTACAAAGGAAGCCCCTGCCTGTAGAATATCCTTCCTTCCACGTGAGTGTTCGCTCTTCTCTGCTCTCTGGGGCCGGGTGGACCTCTCTGTAGCTTGATCTGCTCCCTGCTGATGGTTCCCCCTTTTCCTTTTGAAACAGAACCTAGGCTTCGGAGGACGGAATCTGTCCCCTCAGACATCAACAACCCGGTGGACAGAGCAGCTGAGCCCCACTTCGGAACCCTCCCCAAAGCACTGACAAAGAAGGTACACAGACAGCTGCCTGCCCATCTGCTGCTTGTGCCGGGAGAAGCCCCCACCACCCCTGCCCTGGGGCTCCTCCTGCAATGCAGCAGTCAGCAGGGAGGTGGGACATGCAGCCCAAGGCCAGAGAGGGTGGCCCTCAGGGGTCTTGTCATTTTTGTAGACTTTACATTTTGTCCAAATCGTAGTTAATGTGCCTGTGGCCTCCTTCCCCGGTGCAGCTGGATGTTTCCTGAGCGCTTACTCTGAGTCGGGAACTTTTCCCATTGATCCTTTTGATCCTTACAATAGTTCTAAAAATCACATATTGCTGTTAGCTCCATTTTAGGTGAGGACCTAAGCAAGAACTTACAGGGTCCCCCGTGAGTGAAAGTCAGGCCCAGAGCGGGGGTCCTCTGCCACCGCACAGATTTTTGAAAGGAGAGTCTAAGAGGCCTGTTGCAGCCCCCAGGCACAGGTGTGCATGGTGGGGTCTGCAAGGTGCCTGTGCTCGTGGTGGCCTCGGATGACAGCCTCTGGTGACTGCGCAGCCAGTGGCCTCCCCGCAGCCCCAGACCGGGGCTTAGCACACCCTTGCCTCACTACGGAGGGGCATGCTGCTGGCTTCTCTGTGGCATGGGCCAGGCTGGGTAGAGGTTGGGGCAGGGAGAAGAGAGAGGCAAGTGGCTCTGCTCATTAACACCAGGGACCCAGAAAGTGCAGTCTGGAAGGCTGCTGCATGTCTTACTGCCCGACAGGGGAGGCCTTCAGAGCTGTCCGCGCTTATGGGCCTGCCTGTGTCCTCTCTCAGCCTCTCTCCACCTGTCATTGCATTGCCCCTGATGGTGGCATTCCATCCATCCAGGAAGAAAGGTGGGGTGGAGAGGTGTAGGACCACAGCTGAGCTCCCATCCCAACTAGTCCCCTTTCTTGCCTCTGTGACCTTGGGTGAATTCCTTTACCTCTCTGAGCCTCAGCTCCCTGGTGTGTAAAGTGGGGATAATCAGGCTTTGTTGACAGGGTGTCGGAGGGCTAATGAAGGGACGTTCTTGAACTTGCTTGTCAGGACCAGCGTTGTCCAGCCTGTCACAGATCGAGACACACTTCCTCGGCAGGGAAGTCCGCTAAAGAAAGCTGAGCAGGAGTCTTTAGGGGATGGGCACTGAGGGGAGGGTCTTTCTGTCCATCCTCCCCTTGAATATTAGACCCGGGGCGGACTTCCCGGTTTTCAAGCAGGGAGGGGAGGGGTCTAAGCACTGGGGTATGGAAGGGGCAGGCTGGGCAGGGCCGTGACAGACCCTGCCCACTTCTGGAGTCTCTGGTCCCACAGGAGCACCCCCCGGCCATGAACCACCTGGACTCCAGCAGCAACCCGTCCTCCACCACGTCCTCCACGCCCTCCTCGCCGGCACCCTTCCCAACATCATCCAATCCATCCAGTGCCACCACGCCCCCCAACCCCTCTCCGGGCCAACGGGACAGCAGGTTCAACTTCCCAGGTACCACCCTCGGGGCTTCTGTGTGCCTTCAGGATAGGGTGGGATGCCCCTTCTCTGCATGCTCCAGCAGGCTCAAGGTGAAACCCTGCGGCCAGTAAGAGCCTTTGCTGGTGGCCAAGTGCTGTGCCAAGCCCAAATACAGTACCGTATTTATACCTGATGTGAGCTCTGTGGTAGACGACATTATCACACCCATTTTACAGATGGGGACACTGAGGTTCAAGGGGAGTGCCTTGTCCTGAGCTGTATAACATGGAAGGGACAGAGCCAGGATCAAAGCCAACTCTGTCTGACATAAAGCCTTGATTCTTGACACAATCCCTGAACTGCTGTCCTGTGTGTGGGGCGGCTTGTCACGGGCATCACTCACTCAGGGCTTCTGAGCACTTGGGAAGCATGGCCAGTAGCACAGGGAGCTGGGGCAGGCCCAGAAGGCCTGGGAGAGGGACTCTGGGGCTCGGCTGCTTACCTGCTCCGTTGCTTACCTGCTCAGGTGATCCGAATAAACTGCTTAAGGGGGAGCTTTTGTTCCCATAAAACAGGAGACCCCGTGAGGTTGGGATTAGGTTATTCCCACTGTGTAGATGAGGACACAGAGTCTCAGCATGCTCTGTAGGACCAGGGTCCCCCATCTCTCGGCCAGGCTGGGGGTGTCCCACCTCTCCAAGGCTTGCCTATTTCGGGATGAGCCCAGGCCTTGGCTTCCCTGGCAGCTCCTTGTAGCTGGTCTCAGCCCTCCAAGTATTTCGGTTGGTGGCCAGGAGACAGGCACAGCCGCTGGGACCCTCCGGTTTACTCTGGGCCCGGACAAGTCAGGACCCATCTGTCACCAGCCCTTGGGGCTCCAGGCCTCAGAGGACAGAGCCATAGCTTTTCCTGTGCTGGGCAACCCTCAGCTGGGGCCACATGTGGCCAGCAGGAGGCCAGGCAGCCTCTCTGGACCCGTTTTACCAGAGTGCCAGGGATTTCTTTCAGGGATGCTGGGAGACTGAGATTTTGTAGGAATCTTTTCTTTCACCTGTCCCTTCGCCTTAACGTGCACCTGGCTGGGGCTCTCCTGCACCGTCCCGAGCACACCCATCCCCTCCCCACAGCAGAGCTGGAGCCCATTGGAGTAACCTCCCTCTTCACATTCTGCTCTGTCATTAATTTCCGAAACTGGATCTTTTGCTGAACTTCTAGTTTGGGTTTTTCTAAAAGGAAGGCCTTATTTGAAAAACAACAGCCACAGAAAAGGTCCATTTTGTGATGTCAGCCAGAGTCTCTCAGCTTTCTCTGACATCCGTGGGCTGGGCCCTCATTGTCCTGTGCCCAGAGCCCTCACTCTGGCCAGGATCTGTGATCTCGCTGGTCATGGCTGTGCCTGGGGCCCAACCTGGTGAACCTGGGGAAGGAATGATGCCTATCGTGCACCTACTCTGTACCATGGGGGAGCATTTCTGTTTATCACGAAGAATAAACCTGGGGAAAGGCTGTCTCTACCCCTGGTTTTACCCTAGGACAACTGTGTCCGAATCCAGACCCCCAGCACGTCCCCTTCTGTCCCCCTGAAGAGAGGTCGTTTTTTGTTCTCTTTTGGATGGTGAGGTCGGGTCGCTGAGGCCTCAGCACCTCTGGAGGTGAATGATGTGGGGCCGGAGTGGGGGCCGCTTCTCTTTCACAAGCGCTATTTCCTCACCCTTGTATCTCGCCCTCCTGGGCTCACGCACACTTCACAGAGAAGCAAGCCTGGGAGGCGAATGGATTGGGCAAGTCCTCCAGGCCCAGCCCTTTCCCTCCTGGGGGCTCCGCGGGCTCCTGCTTCCTTCCAGCTCCCTTTCTCCTTCCTGCATGGATCACCCTGCTCAGCCCCACCCTATAACCAGCCCCTCCTCGCCAAGCCCCTGCATTTGCTGTTCTGTGTGTGTGACTCACCTCCTCTTCTGTTTAAAGCTGCCTACTTCATTCATCATAGACAGCAGTTTATCTTTCCAGGTGAGTCCTCTGCATGGTCCCACTAACTGCCCCATGCCGCGAGCCCTCCGTCCCGCCCACCTGGGTACCCTCTCCCAGGGCACCTCTGAGTGCCTGAGTCTCACATACACCTATTTGAGAGCTGACTGTGTATAACAGCTGGGAAGGGAGCAGGGTGGGTCACCTTGAGAGTGGGCCCTTCACAGGGGTAGTGATCTGCTGGGAGGGACCATGACATCCGTCATCTTCAGCCTCTTACCCAGAGACTACAGGCAGCTTACCCAGGGTCACACAGCTGGGGAGGTGGCGGAAATCCATTTTGCAGAGCGAAGGGAGAGACCTTTCTGCCGATGCCTTATAAGCATCTGTTAGGATGTCTTCCCTTACATCCTGACAAGGAAGCTACTTACAGAAGCTGTCTTAGAAGGGGAAGCCAGTTTAGAATAGTCTGTGGTCTCACCCTCCTGAGCATTGCTGCCTGGCGCCATCTGCTGGCGATGAGATGAAATGCAGCTTTAACTTTCAATCTCATTGATTCTCTTCCACAAAAATTGTTTTGCACACCCACTACGTGCACTGCTTTTGCATTTGGCTGTATTCCTGCCCTCAAGGAGTTTATGTGGTTAGTACTTATTTCTCCAGCTGAGGGTGACAGGCGTTCGTGTACTTAATCAGCAACCTTAATTCTTAATTTAGCCAAATGAAGTCTCAGTGTGTTTAGACAAAGACTGTAGCTAATTGTTTTTCTCCTGGGTTAAACAGACCTGTCTTGAAGTCACAGTATTTAGGTCAGTCCAGGATTTTCTGTCTCAGGCCTTGCATTGGCTTTTTGTTTCCTCCAGACATTTCGGCATTTCCACAGGCAGTCCCATCCCCTGATGCGGCGGACAGCACCCGGTAGGCCTCCCAATGCTGTGTCCTCTTTCTCTTCTGTGGGGATTTGTTAAAGCTAGACCCGCACCCCTGGCCACCTCCCACCCCGCCTTTGCGTGTCTGACTGCCTGCTCTGGATGCTGAGCTGGCCGGCTGGGGTTTTCCGTGGACTCATTCACTCCCTGGACCAGTGAACTCGGCCAGAGGGTTTTATTAGCCTCCAGCGTATGCAGTCCATGTGGGGAGGGCTATTTTCGAATCTGGGGCAGTCTCATGACCCAGGAGAGGTGGGCAAAGGCCACTTAGAGTTAGAGATGCCTACCACAAACAGCTCCTGTTTAGGGAGCCCCATTCCCAGTGTCCAGCTCTGCTGAGCCCTTGATTCCCATCTCCTCACACAGTCCCATCTGGTGAAGGCAGGTATCGAAGTAGGTGGCGTCCTTAAAGGCGAAAGCCCCCACAGAGAAGTTAAGAAATTATATGAAGTCACACAGCTAGGAGGTGACAGCCGGTTCTCAAGGCGAAGTTCAGGTCCCGTGTGTGTATGTTCAGAACCCCATGCACCGGGCATCAGATTTGAATGGGCCTTGGTGGTTCCTGCCCTCCCCTCATCCCCCACCGCCCTCAGGTTAGGCTGAAGAAGGCCGAGGCCAAAGAAGGGAAACGGGGTTTGGTCTTTGGCTTCCTGTCTGTTTCTGCGGCATCCAGACTGCCTTTCCCACAGGCAGGTGGGTCACAGTAAGGATGCGGGCCCAGGAGCCCTCTGTCAGACCTCCCATGGGAGTCCTCTGCCCAGCCGAGAGCAGAGTGGCCTGCCCTCAGGGTCTCCCTGACGAACTGTTTGACTCTTAGGCTTGACAACCAGCCCAAAGCAGACGTGTTGGAGGATCACGAAGCAGAGGTGAGTGAGGGTGACACGCAGCCCAGAGACCCTGCCTTCTCTCTCCTCTCCACCTCGTCTCAGCACTCCCAGGGGTGTAGGGAGTCCATGGGTGCCACCACCTCAGGAACCCACTGAGGCATGTACATAGTGGGGAAGAATGATGAGGAACAATGAAGCAGGCTTCTTCTTCTTCTTCTTCTTTTTTTTTTTTTTTTTAAATCTTTGAAGCTAAAGTAAGCTCTCAGGGTTCCCAACCCTACCCTGAGGCCCGGGGCCTAGCGTGGGAAGCTCTGGTTCCATCTGTCTGGGGTGCGGCCAGGCATCTGTATGATGTCAGAGCCCCCAAATGCTTAGCCAGGCCCAAGAACCGCTGTCTTAACCCAGCCACGCAGTGTGGCTTAGACTAACTGACTTCTGCCTGGAGGACAGTTAGACACTTGGTTTAAACAAAGGAATGCCCAGAAAGGATAAATGGGTTAAATTCGTCTATGCTGGGGGTTGTTAACGTTCTTTCCTAGCGATTAGATGGTGTCCTCTGTAGGCCTTGGAGCCCTCTCAGAAAGAAGGGCTCAGGGCCCACCTGAGCCAGACGCCATATTTTGTGAGTGACGACATCAACACCCTGTGGTGCCAAGTGACCTGGCCACTGTCCACAGCAGGCCAGTGCAGAACTGCGACGAGACCCCGGGCTTCCAGCCCCCATGAGTCTCTCCCGGGCCTGTGGGTAGGGCGAGTCGTCTGAGCCCAGGTCCGCCACCCATCTCTATGCCTTCCCCCTCCTTCCAGGCTGAGGAGCCAGAGGCCGGCAAGTCAGAGGCAGAGGATGATGAGGATGAGGTGGACGACTTGCCCAGCTCCCGCCGGCCCTGGCGGGGCCCGATCTCTCGCAAGGCCAGCCAGACCAGCGTGTACCTGCAGGAGTGGGACATCCCCTTTGAGCAGGTGGAGCTGGGCGAGCCCATCGGGCAGGGCCGCTGGGGCCGGGTACACCGCGGCCGCTGGCACGGTGAGGTGGCCATCCGCCTGCTGGAGATGGACGGCCATAACCAGGACCACCTGAAGCTGTTCAAGAAGGAGGTGATGAACTACCGGCAGACACGGCACGAGAATGTCGTGCTCTTCATGGGAGCCTGTATGAACCCGCCCCACCTGGCCATCATCACCAGGTAACCGAGCCGCCCCACCTCTCCGTGCCCCCCGCCCCACCGGCCGCATTGTCAGCCCCATTATCATGCCTGTTGTTAAACTAAAAGGGTTTGTGTATACTCACATTTTTAAAACTATTCCTTTATAAGAACCTGTCTTCTGGGCTCGCACCTGCTTTCCCCAGGCTGAGCGCGGGTCTGAGGCCAGTCTCGGTCTTTACCACTCACCCAGCATTCCTGGCACGTCAGCGACCCCAGCGGTGTGCTCGTAACTGTGGAGCCAGCGTGGTTTCAGCCCTAGTTGTGGTATCTCTCCATTCCTGTGGTGTAAATACCCTCCCCATGGCTGATTTCAGGCTACCAGCACAAATCACTGAGAGTGGCCTGGGTCTGGGTTCTCTCTCGGTCTGATCACTGGTCACCCCCAGTTTATTTAGCCGGTCCTCTCGGGCTGGGCACTTTGCCGTAATGAACGATTTGGTTCCCTGTGTCCGAGACCTTCTGGGAGGGCACATGCTAGGCAAGAGTATACGTATGTGATGTTCTGACCTAAGCTGTCTGTTTTACTGCAGAAAGTCCCCACCCGTCCTCCCTCCCCCACCCTGCAACTTGGGTGCGTGACTGTTCATCCCCCCCCCGCCCCCCTGCAGCACCCAGAGTGTGAGGTTGAAACATTTTGGACCCTATGGTTTGTAAGAACCTTTTTTCTCCTCTCAAACAGACTATATTTACTAAGTAAAAATTAATTTCCCATTTGCCTGTTTATCAGAGACATAAAGCAGACCCACTAGAATTCCTGAGCAGGGTGGTACCGCCCACGTAACCCAGGGGACAGAATGCCAGCCCAAAGCACAACGACGTGATGCTTTAGCTTACACCATCTCAACAGCACCCAGGGCCCCAGCCCCCAGCTCTGTCCGTCCATGCATCCGTCCGTTCTCTCTTCACCCAGCCGGGGCTGTGAGAACCTGAGTCTGCTTAAAGGGAATAAATAGCAAGATGTTCATTACCCCCAAAATTCACATTTTAGGATATGCTGAGGGGATTCGAATGCAGACAAGGAATCATCAGCCGATATCCCACACCCCCTCAGCCGGTTCTCAAAGTTGCTGAGGCTCCAAGGATCCTGTCTCTTTGGAGGGGTTGCCTAAAACTAGCCCCTTCATGAGATGCCTTCGTGAACTTCTTTTGGGAACAGGGGAGTGAGCCATACGTTCTCTCTGGGTCCTTGCCCACCCCGGGCTTTAGGAGTCCATGCAAGGAGTGGCCCAAAAACTTGAACCCATTGTCCAGGAATCTGTCTGACCCCCGTGATGCCACCCCCCTCCTACACAGGGCTTTACTGTAATGAAATCTCTGTGATCAGAGAACAGTAAAAATGATCATGAGCATCATTCCGGAGAGCCCCAGATGTTGCCTGCTTATAGTCCTAAAAGACCAGGTTCTTCCCCAAGTTTGAGGGACAAGTTTCTGCCTCAAATCCTCCAAGGCTGGGTTGCTCTGGGTTGCCAGGAGCCTTGCTGAGCTGGGTTTCCTGTTCTGGGGTGCACAGGCTGAGCCACAGGGAACGGGGTACGTGTGTGTGTGTGTGTGTGTGTGTGTGTGTGTGTGTGTGTGTGTGTGATTTTGCACACTCAGGCCAGGCCCAAGAAGGAATGGGTGTCAGGGGCTTGGTGGAGAACGAGGATTCCAGTGCCCACGGGCGAGGGGACAGAGAGAGACCTCTGGCGGTTGGGGTCACAGCTCTCTCCACGGCTACTCTCAGGCTTCCCGGAGGCTGGGGTTCGGCTACACTGGCCCCACCCCTCAGCCTGACCCCACCACTCTCGACAGCTTCTGCAAGGGGCGGACGTTGCACTCATTTGTGAGGGACCCCAAGACATCTCTGGACATCAACAAGACCAGACAGATTGCTCAGGAGATCATCAAGGTAAAGGACTATCCAGCTGGCTCCAGGGTTCCTGGCCACCCCCTGCTCTGTCTCTTCTCTGAGCTGGGCTTCCTCAAGGGTGGGACCCCAGCGCCTTCCCTCGGTCCGTGTCTCACCCACTTAAAGCCAGGAGCTGGACGCCCAGTCTGTGACGATGGATGGATTGGTCAGGGAGGAACACAGTAGGGTTTAAAGACACGTGGCCTAAGTTCGACTCCTGGTCCCTCCAGTTATGTGACTTTGGACAGGTTATTTAGCCTCCCTGAGCCTTAGCTTCCTCCCCCCGTAAGATGGGAATTCCATTGTAACCTCCCCCATTGGATTGGGGCAAGAGGAGGATGGGGTCATCTGCTCAGAGCACATTGGGCCCAGGCCCTGGCACAGAGGGAGAATCTGCCAGAACTGGATTAAGGGTGGGCCCAGGCTTTCTGCCTTCAAGTGTCCAGATCCAAGCTGCATGAGGACTGGCCCTCAGGCAGCCTTTTTTCTTTCTTTCATCTTTTTTTAAAAGTAATAAAACACAAATGAAAGAAAAGCTTCTTTGTAAGTTGCTGGCTTTAGCACCAAGCAGGCCTAGATAAAAGCCAGACTACTGCTGGGTCAGAGTTCCTCCTTGCTTGCTTTCTGTTGAAACGCTTGCTCTGACCAACTCGCCCCAACTCCCTGTCCCCTGCCTCCTCTCTTGCCTCCATCCCTGCCTTTCCTTTTTCTCCCTCTCTCTTCCTGGCATGTGTTTGTGTGTGTGTGTGTGTGTGTGTGTGTCCTTTCCTTTTTCTCCCTCCCACCTCCCTCTTTCTGGTGCACGCACGCGCCTGTGTGTGTCTTTACCAAAGAAATCCCAAAGTCATAGTGACCTTCATGAGCAAACCAAGATTTCCACGTGACACGTAACCATGTGGCTGAATTAACAAATTAAACTTTTAAAGCCTCAAAATTAAAATAGCACATTTACGCCTTCATGCGCAGTAAGCCACATTTCAGAGGAGTTGGAGGGAGCTGCTGGGTGTCACACCTGTTCCCTCAAACTTGCTGGGCCCTGGTCCCTTCCGGCTCCCCTGCTCTGTCCTCCTCCTCTAAACTGTCTTCTGTCCTTATGGTCAGAACACTGGGGAATCTGTGTCTGTTGCTGAGGTCGGATGGATGAGCTCTCTGGAAGATTCTAGGGGCAGACAAGAAAAGCTACTCAGAGACTTCAGAGATGCAGATCCTGAAGCTGGCTTGTTGGCTTGTTTGGTTTTCCTCTTGCTGAGAAGTGGTCACCTGTCCCCTTCCGCTGGAACCTTCTAAGCCACTTCCTTTTATACTCATCTGTGGTTTTGAGGTTCAAAATACAATAGCAGGGTCCTGAACTTGAGCTGGCTTTGTGAGGTAGGGGCCACTCTGGGAACACTGGGAAATTGTGGGAAGGGCAGGGAGTCCATGCTCCAGACCTGGGCATTTGATATCTTGTCTGTTGAAGCTGGCTTTTTGAGGCAGCTCTCTTGCAAACAAAGCTCAGAGGGGGACAGCAGTTTGTCCTCCATCATACAGCTGGTCCCTGTTCAGCCCATGTTTGGGGGGCGGGAGTGGTCTTAGGCCACTGAGGAAGGCTTGTGCCTTGGTTTGGTTTGGGAAATGGTAGATATTCTAGGAATGACCTTCTTATGTTCAGGATGGAATATTGGCAAGGAGTAAGTCACTCTCTCCTAGAACTCTCTGCTTCCACTGCATGGGGACAGCGGACCCCACACCGTCGCCATCGCGTGCCTTGTGTTAATTCATCTCCGACACTCTTCAGACCCCCTCAAACTGAGCTCTGGCCTCAGCTGATTTCTGTCTGATTCTGCCTCATGGTTCATTCTTTCTATTTCTTAAATGTGGTTTCTTGTTTACTGTTTTACTTCTCACCCCGAGAGAGTTTGAAAGCCGCCAAAGGACTCTTCATAGTGTGGGAAGTGACCTCAGTGTGGGAGGTCAGGAGGCTGGGAGGTGGCCTTACATGGGCCTCTTTCTGAGTGGGTGGGGATGGCTGTTCCAGCAGTAGCCTCTCGCCCCCAATCCCAAGGGCATCAGGGTACATGAGAGTCTTGGGTTTCATGTCAGATGACAGCTTGACCTTGGATGAGATGGTGCCTGTGTTAGGTCACCTGTATCCCATACACCTGGCCAGTGTTCACCTCCAGATCAAGCGGTGGTTGCAAGTCCCCCAGCCCTGTCCTTTCCCTGGGTAGACGAGGAAACAGGCTCAGAAGTGCAGCGTCCAAGGCTACACGGTGACCTAGAACCTGAGCCGAGACGGAACATAGGGACATGGGTGGTAGTCAAGGTCTCCCTCTACCCCAGCACGGTTACTGGGACTACCTGTATTCAGGGGCTCCCTTTGTGGGAGTTCCTCTCTGCTCCCCACCCTGAGCCCTTGCCTAGCCTGAGGGGGAGGCACATTGTACAAAGCCTGATAGAGACCCTATAGATCACTTGATTCTCATATGACCTAACATGGGGCTAGGGGGGTAGTTATCGTCACTCTTTATATACTTCCTGGCCATCCCCCCAGCTCCCGACCCACACCCTCTCTACACTTCACACCTGAGCCAAGTATATGGTATCTGTTTGACACCATGGTGACGTGGACCAGCCTGGGACCAAACCTCAGCCATGCTCCTTAACTGCTATGTGGCCTGGAGCCAGTGACTTTCCCTCTCTGAGGCTTGGTTTCCTCATCGGTACCATGGAGACCATTCTGCCGTCTAGGGTTCTGAAGATGGCTTGAGCTGACTTGGGAAGGGCCTCCAGCTGCCAGCCCAGCCTGGGTCCTGCCCCGCTGACATGAAGCTCTCTGTCTCCCAGGGTATGGGCTATCTCCACGCCAAGGGCATCGTGCACAAAGATCTCAAATCCAAGAACGTCTTCTATGACAACGGCAAAGTGGTCATCACTGACTTTGGGCTGTTTGGGATCTCGGGTGTGGTCCGAGAGGGCCGGTGAGTTGACTTCGGGTGTCTGTACAGGACAGGGAGGACCTGGGCTGTACCAGCCAGGCCTCGACATGCAGTTCTTGCTGTCCGTTGGTGAGAGGGGCAGCCCTCCCTGCAGGAAAGGCTAAGTTCTACTGCGGTCCTGTCCTGTAGTTCTGGTCCAGAATCAGGCTTGGGTGACGTTTGGGTCCCTTGTACATAGTACTTCATTCTCAGGCTGACGCCCATAGCAGGCTGCGTCCCCAGGGTTCACGACCCCAGGGAGGGAGACACGATGAGGAAGAGCATCAGGTTTTATTTCCCCCAAATCTTGAAGGGTGGTGATTGGGGAGAAAGGCTCTCTCAAGAATCTGGGGGACCTCCGGGAAGGAGGGTGGCAGTCTGGCTGGAGACTGAGCCCTGGGCCAGGTTGTAAGATACACGGGCAGACTGATTGTCTCCTGGGCCGGAGAATCTGCTCCCTGCTGATACTGGTTACCAGCCGGCTTTCCTGGAAAAGCTGGTTATCACCCTTCTCCAGGTGCCTCGGCAGGTGCAGATCTGCAGACTGTTTTCTGGGATGTGCACGGGGGGTGTGCTCGTCCTGGGGCATAGGTGTGCTGGGCAGCCTCTTCGCTGCTGGCTGAAAGGCCCCATGCCCTTGCCCTGGCTTCTTGGCCTCCAGGCGTGAGAACCAGCTGAAGCTGTCCCATGACTGGCTATGCTACCTGGCCCCGGAGATTGTGCGCGAGATGACCCCTGGGAAGGATGAGGACCAACTGCCGTTCTCCAAAGCTGCTGACGTCTATGCCTTTGGGTGAGGAGGCCCCTGATTTCCCCATCCTGGGGCTCTGAGGCCAAGTGTGGCCAAAAGAAGGGGCCCGCTGGCTGGCAAGGGGACGGCAAGGAGGCAGGGGCGGTGGTGTGCTGAGTCCTGGTTCTGCCACTTGTTGGCTAAGGGTCCACATCCTGGATCTCTTCCCCTGCTGTGAAATGCAGAGAATTACGGTGCCTCCTATGAGGTTGCTTCAGGAGGACTAAGGTGATTTCTGGGCGTCAGTCTCACCCAGTGCCCCGTGAGGATGCTGACCAGAGCTCAACACTGTCCCTCTGGGAGAACCAGGGGGTTCCGCCAGCCCATCTCTAGTGCCCCACAAAGGTGACCAAAAGAAAAACAGAATAGGAATACAATGTGAGCCAGATACAGAATTTAAAGTTGCTCCCAGCTACACTAAAAAAAGAAAAACGGATGAAATCCGTTGTAATCATGCATCTAACTCTAGATCCAAAATGTCATTGCAACGTGTCATCAAAACAAAAGTTTAAGGAGTTATTTTACTCCCACAAAGTTTTCTAGGATTTTGATGAGGATGTTACCCCCCTACGGCACCCCTCAGGTTCACTCTCTACGTGTCCGTTGCTCAGTAGTCCCACGTGGCTAGTGGCCCCGCCTTGGATCATGGGCGGCTGAGGGAGAAGGCCAAGATGAGTCAAGAAAGGCAAGGCAGCTTGGAGAGGCTGGGTGAGAGCCTCACTCTGGAATCTCAGGGTACCTTCTTGTGGGAGGTAGTCTCTTCCTGTCCTGACCTGGGATGTAGGCATGAGCCCCGATGAAGATCTCTGTATCAGGAACTCTGTTCGAAGCCTGCCCAGCTTCGCACTTCCCACCGCAGGGCCTTTGGGCCACGGGAAGGCCACCAGGATGCCGTCACAGTATTTCTGGAAGCGTGGTGGGTGGGGAAAGCGGGAGGAGGATCCTGGGTGCGCTGGCTGGCTTCATGGCACTATGGCAGCAGGAGGTCCTGGGCGCGTGAGCTGGGCTGGACGGTTCAGCCACTCACGCTGCCCGGGCGGTCCCCACAGGACTGTTTGGTATGAACTGCAAGCAAGAGACTGGCCCTTTAAGAACCAAGCGGCAGAGGCCTTGATCTGGCAGATTGGAAGTGGAGAGGGTATGAAGCGTGTCCTGGCCTCCATCAGCCTGGGGAAGGAAGTCACTGTGAGTAGCCACCTGTTCTCAGAAAGGGAGGAAGGGCTGGGGCGGGGGACGGGGCACACGACAGGTGCGCCCTTCTGCATTCACTCACCTGAGAAATGGGGCATGGAGGCAGAAGTGTCCTAAGCGGGCCTCTTTGCTTGCCCGCCAAAACAACCGTGTCCTTTATTGCCCAACTGTGTTTCTTTAGAAAAACCATTGTCTTAAAAAAAGGAAAAAACGGACCAGAAAGAAAGGTCCTGGTTTTAATTGACTCGTGAGTTGGAAAAGATAGTAGAGCCCTGTATGTTCCTTACATGGAGGAAGATGATCAAATCCTCCCCTCACTGAACACAGACAGGGTTTTCCTGTGGCATCACATGAATCTCGCCCCGAATGTTCTTCTCAAACACCCAAGAACCAGTCGAAGTTTCCGCAGCGTATTTGTCAAAAAGCCAGATCATAACACAGGTGCGCATCTCCTGCTGCTGGACACCGCCAGTGGTTTCTCTGCATGGCGGTTTCTAAGTGTCCCGGCCCCAGCACAGTGGTGTAAGGAAGCCAGGGCTGGCTGTTACCATCCCCATTCTAATCAGGCGGAAGCAGGTGCTGGCCCGGATGTGAACACACTCCAGGAGGTATCTGGGGGGCCTAGCCCTGGGGGTGCCTGCCTGGAGGAATCCCCAGTGCGGGTCCAGTTGAGCTCTAACTGGGCTGTGAGCTGCTTGCTGACACCAGGGACGGTGCTGGCAGAGTCACCGTCTGCAAGTGGAGACCCGCCCAGGGAGAAAGGCTCCTGATTTTCCTTTGGAACCTGACCAGATCTTCATATTTTCCTCCTTTGACTGGTGGCTAGCTGTTAGGGCATCTTTGGAACGCTCATTTAGGACATGGTGCCTGGGGTGCTTTATTCCAAGGGGGGACCAGCCATCTGGTCTCCCTTCAGCAGACTCTTTCTGTACACGTGTGCTCCTCCAAGAGGGACACCAAAAGGCTAATCTGTAGCCCCAACACCAGGCTCTTTGGCCACTTGATAACACCTCTTCTGGGCTGTTGAGCAGGGCAGGTGGGCCATGAGTGCCTCCCCGATGCTCTTGGACTCCTTCCCGGGCAGACCCACCTTTCCCTGGCATAGCCCCAGGCCCCTGGGGCCTAGAGGTAGGAGAGGTTCAGGCTCCAGGCTACTGAGTCATTCAGACTGCAACTTAAGCAGCTGGTACCTTCTAATCTTCTTCTTCTTTTTTTTTTTCCCCAAAGATTTTGTTTATGTATTTGACAGAGAGAGAGATTACAAGTAGGCAGAGAGAGGGAGGAAGCAGGTTCCCTGCTGAGCAGAGAGCCCAATGCAGGGCTCGATTCCCGAAGGCAGAGGCTTAACTCACTGAGCCACCCAGGTGCACCCCATCTTTTTTTTTTTTAGATTTTTATTTGAGGGAAGAGAGTGTGAATGTGGCAAGGGGTTGGGGGGTGGGGTGGGGATTCAGAGGGAGAGAGAATCCCAAACAGATTCCCCGCTCAGTGCAGAGCTCCAACACGGGGCTCAATCCCAGGACCCCTAGATCACGACCAGGGCCGAAATCAAGAGCCGGATGCTTAACTGGCTGAGCCACCCAGGTGCCCCTTAATTTTTTAAAATACGTATCTGACAAAATCAGGATCATAACATGTAGCTCATTTTTTAAAATCATGACATTTTTTCCTCATGGTGTTTTGATGTGCTTATTAACTCAAATCATGAACAGAGCCTTGTTTTTACACCTGTCTGCCCTGTATGCCCTGGCATACACCCTAATATGGCTACTTCTCTGTTGTTGGACATTTAGGTTATTTCAAGTTTTTACCTGTTAAAATAAAGTCATGAAGGACACTTTTGTATAAACCAGAATGTGCCTGTATGTTTGTTTTATGTGAAAGAAAAAATAGCGAGTTGCTTTCCAGGTAGCAATCTCCAGTCTCTCCCTGCGCACTTGCAGTCTTGGCGCACAGAGTGGTGGGTGCGGTCTTCAGGAGGGGGAAGGCCCGGAGCAGAGCGTAAAGCCCATCAGAGGCAAGTGAGTCAGAGTGCAACCCTGACTACAAGTCAGCATCACCTGGGAGCTTTTGAAAATATCAGGACCCCAGGGCCTCGACCAGAGAGAAGGATTTAATTGGCCTGGGTTGGGGCTAAGATCATAATTAATTTTATCTTTCATGTTCCGTTCTGGAAGGATTTCTTACAGTGTGGGGTTGCGGGTCCTTTGAAGCCCCTTAAGAATAGATTAGGGAGCAGGGAAGTGGGGAAAAGAGAAAATGTTCCAGCAGTCAGCTCCTGGTTCATGAAAGTTGACTTTCCTGTTTGGTTTTTGGGGTTTTTTTGTTTGTTTGTTTTGTTCTGTTTTTGTTTTTTTTTTTTTTTTTTAAACACATTACCATTGGTGGGTAGAGGGGGGCATAAGTCAGGGGCAATAAAAAGTGATTTTTGAATCATAGTCAGAAGCAGGGAGTGCCCCCTCTGCAGAGCACCTTTCTCTGCCCTTCCAGCCAGTGCTGTAAGTTCACCACCAAGTTTCTAGCCACAGCAGCCACAGTGAGTAGTGCGCCTAGGCTGACGTCAAAAGGCCAGAACGCTTCTTAATGAAAACCAGCAGTCCCCCACCTCAGGTCACGCTCCAAAAGACTAGTTCTTGTTCTAGCAGCTTTCCACTCCCTGTCCCTCTGCCGCTTCTCTGCTCAGCCTCCCGTCAGCTTTCCCTCTATCCTTTTATTAAGACTGATTCTGTGTCAGTATAATTGAATTGTCCATGCTATGTCTGCAGATGGAGGTCAAAAGTAAAAAGAAAATAAATATGGGTGCGCCATTGTAATAGATTCTAGTTGCCATGAGCTGCTGATTAAGCAGCTCACGACATTTTCCTCCATGCGTCTCTCTCTTTTCTTCCATTCTGTCAGTTACTCAAAGGCTCACCACAATTTTGTTGGCTTCACACGTGGACCATGGTTTTCTTGTGCAGTTTTAGGTTTTTCCTGTAGTTTCTGATTGTCTTCTTTTTTTCTTGCTGAGAATGGTCACAAGCACCACCTTTGCTGTATTCCTGAGGTTTTGCAGCTCCTACATACTGCTTATGGAATGGAATTTGTTCCATTCTTCTTAGGGCCCATTGGTTTCTCATGATCTGGATAATGGAATTTTAGGCCTGCTGTAGTGCTGTCATCCTTCCATTTCTTTTTGATCATCCCTGGCTCAGTACTAGAATTTCATGTATCGCAGGTCTCCCCATATCTTTATTTGCTTTCCAGTAAAATGCGAGAGAACCCTAAAAGAACTCCCTCCCAGTGGTTGCATAGGAGATAATCTTTGAATCCTTATATGCACCTGAGCAAGTCCTGATTTTGTTCTCACACCAAGAGGTTCACAATAATCTTCCCTAAGAGCATGAAATTTTAGCTGTGCTGTCAGTATACAGCACGTGTCCAGGGCATTGCTGAAAAATCAGATATTAATCTTAAAATTCTCAATCTTTTGTAGATGCCCTATTTTATTCTCTCTGGGAACATGTAGGATCTTCTCTTTATCCTTGTTGCATTGAAATGTCATTAAAATATGCCTTAGAATAAGTTTATTTTTCTTGGTTTGATACTCTTTTTTTCAGTGAGGTCCCTTCACTGGGCCTTTTCAGGTAAAGATTCCAGCTTCTCTTAAAAGTTTCTGGGAAATTTTCTTTCATTATGTCTGTATTACGTAGTTTCCTGCCCTATAGTTCCTTTGTTTTCTCTTGTGGAAACTCCCATTGGACAGAATTTGGTCCTTAGTGAGCTTCTGTGTCTTTTACCTTCTTTGATGTTTTTTCTTCCTACCTAAAATCGGGGGCACAATCTGGGGAGCTTCCTGGATTTTATCTGCCAGTATTCCTACCTAATGTTTTGTTTCAGAGCTTCTGTGATTAGGGGGTATAGCTCAGGGGTAGAACATCGGATTGCAGAAGTCTAATTAATCTCAAGATCTTCCTTGTTTTTGGTATGTTTTTATTGATCTTGTTTTATGCTTCTACACACACACACACACACACACACACTTACTTTACTCCAGAGTTGGTGTTTTGGTCAGTGAATCTTTGGTCTTTCTTGTTTTCCTAACCTGGTGGGCAATCCCACGAAGTGTAGTTGTCCTCAAGAACAAAAATCTGAGCATACATGGGTGAGCACTTTCTGCCTGGCTGGGTAGGCAGGCCCATCTTCTTGCCGGGGCTCTCCTGAACCGAAAGGCTGAAAAGTGTGCGGTAAACACTTAGATCCGGAAAGCAGGCAGCAAACTGCCAAAGTGAGAGGAGCTTTACTCTCTCTTTTCTTTTTTCCCTAAGTAGGCTCCACACCTAGCGTAGGGCTTGAACTCATGACCCTGAGATCAAGACCTGAGCTGAGATCAAGAATTGGACACTTAACCACCTGAGCCACCCTGGTGCCCCTTGGGGGGCAGTCAGGACAGGTGTTCTGCTGGCTCTCAAGCGCTCCCCTCTGTTTCATTCTTCTGGCCACTCCCAGCCTCCATTGCTGTATCCCTGAGGCTCCCACGCCTGTCGCAGCTCTACCCCACATATATTCTGAGCATCTTGCATTTCTTCTGCTTTCTGTTTGAAAATTCTATAACCCCATTTCTTTCTTTTTTTTTAAAGATTTTATTTATTAGAGAGAGAGGGAGAGAGGCAGAGGGAGAAGGAGAAACAGGGTCCTGCTGAGCAGAGAGCCCAACGCGGGGCTCGATCCCAGGACTCTGGGATCATGACCTAAGCTGAAATCAGACGCTTGACCAACTGAGTCACCCAGGCGCCCCTATAGCCCCATTTCTGATCTCTTTCCTATTAGCTATTTGTTCAGCTTTGTTCCTGTTATTCCAGGGCGGTGTAAGAAGGAAAGAGGGGAGACAAGCTCGTGCACTTTGTTTTCCCCTGGAAAGCTTGAACGCTCTTCTGAGATTCATGGCCAATCTTCTTAACATGGGCAGGATGTTGGGGGACCACCACATGGAGGCGGGGGGCTCAAGAGCATCGAAGGGACCCTGTGCAGAGTACCCGAGCTGCGCCCTCCTCTCTCCATCCCCACCAGCTCTCACCCCCACCCCTGCCGGCTCTGTTCACAGGAGATCCTGTCTGCCTGCTGGGCTTTCGACCTGCAGGAGAGGCCCAGCTTCCCCCTGCTCATGGACATGCTGGAGAAGCTGCCCAAGTTGAACCGGCGGCTTTCCCACCCCGGCCACTTCTGGAAGTCTGCTGAGTAAGTAGCCCCTCGGTGGGCCTTTGCAGCCTCTCCTGGTGTCTGAAAGGGCACTGTCCACGCTAAGACTTAGATCTGGGGGATACACAAACCAGATCGCCCCCTTGCCCAAGTGATACTAGGATCTTGCTTATCTCGGAGATTCCTTTTGAGACACGAGCGTCTCTGGTCCTTTTCTGTGAAAACCTACATATCCCTGTTACCAGAGCAGTGCTGATGCTGGGCCCAGACAGGCCCGGACGAGAGGAATCTGCCTCAGAAGGGGCCAGACAGGGCCCGTTGGAGGCCAGAGCAGTGTGGGTATTAGAACAACACCAACATCAGCAGAGCTGCTCTGACTTAAAAGGATGTAGACTCGAGATGGCTTTGGAGCCCCCCAGACCAGCCACCTGGGTTGGGGACCACATGGCCCGAGTTTCTGTGCCACTTTGAGGCAGGAAGGCCACCCCCCTTCTGTTTAATCACACAGTCCTTCGTGCCCCTTGGTACCAGGTGGCCTTTGCTCCTCCTATCCATTCTGCCTCATTCCCCTTTCGCTCTGTCCCTCTGGCTCTGGCTCTGCCTGACCCTCAGAAGTGGGCCTCTGCCCTGCTGCAAACCCTTTGTGGGAATCCGAGGAAGTCCATCATTCTAGGCCTCAGCTTCCACAGCTTTAAAAAGTAGGCTGGGGCGGGATCGGGGCGTGGCCTCGTAGCATGGGGAGTGTGTTAGACTTTGCAGGCACGAAGGGAAATTGGAGCCACAGCTCCCATCCCTAGGATTTGTAGTGTGACCAGCAGCCGCGCAAGGCTCTCACAGTCCTGAGCACGGTCTCTATGGCAAGGACTCAGCTCTGCCATTTGATGCAGGAGTAACCAGGGACAGCGCATAAACCAGGGGGCTGGCTGGGCGCTAAGAAAGCTTTATTTATGGATGCAGCAACTGGAATTTCATACAACTTTCTTTTTTTAAGATTTTTATTTCATTTGACCGAGAGGGGGGGCACACCAGCAGGGGGAGCAGCAGAGGGAGAGGGAGAAGCAGACACCCCACTGAGCCGATTCCCCATTGGCACTCGATCCCGGAACCCTGTGGTCGTGACCTGAGCTGAAGGCAGGCGCTTAACCGACTGAGCCACCCAGGAGTCTCTCATGCAACTTACACATATTATGAAATCTTCTTTTGATCCCCCCAACCCATTTAGAAAGGCAAAAATCATTCTTAGTTTGTGTATTGTGCAGAAACGTGTTGAGCAGTCCATATGTGAAAAGACCCCTGAACGATAGGAATGGTTTTAAGCTTTTTTAAGGCAAAGGGCACCTTCTAAAAGTGCGATCTCCCCCAGACTCCCAGTATATAAACCAGAAAAAGTGGAGCTGCTCTTGCTAGTTGCAGGGGCAGGAGCCTGTCCACACCCCCAAGGTGGCTGCTGGGGCACCTGCCATCCCATCACTGACCCCTGGAGAAGCTGCTCCTGGATTTCCTACCTGCTGCCCAGGTGTGTGGTGGCAACAGCATCCATCCTAGTCTAGAAAGGGCCAGTTAGTAAATATTTTAGGCTTGTGGCTCATATGATCTCTATCATATGTTCTTGGTTTTTTCTGTTTTGTTTTTCACCTTTAAAACGATCCATCTTTTTGTGGCTGGATTTGGCTTAGGTACGGTTGGCTGGCCCATCTTGAAAACAAACCAAACTGGGTTTGAAGCTATAGGCAAGGGGGGAGCCCAGCATGAGTCACCCGACCAGGGGATGCCAGTAAGAGAACTCCCTGAAGAAACGTGATAAACCGCTGACTTAGGCCATGTGCAGGGATGGCCTAGAGGAATGACAGTTTGAGGTTGGGAACCCTTTCTCTTAGAATGCCACGTTAGTGTCCATATTTTGCTCTGAAGATGGGTCAGAGTCTAGTGCAAATGGGGGGCAACAGAATGTTGCCACTGGAGGTGTGGGTACTTCCCAGCCATTGCTGAGTACCTGCCACACCCCTGGGGAAACAGAAGGCCAAGGCCAGGCCTCGGCCAGCCGGGAGCTTGCAGTATAATCGGTGAATGGATGAGGGAATGATGCCAACATGCTAAGTGTTGTGCCAAAGAACAGCCTTCGTGGGGTGCTCAGCCACCCTCAGTGCCCTCTCTGCCCACCTAGGGAGCTTGAGGAAGGGTTCTCCAGAAGAGGGGCCATTGGAACTGGCTTTCCAGCAGGAGCTATCGTGGTAGAGACGAGAAGAGTGGGGTTCCCCTGGACTCAGGGCAGCTTGTTTAACATCCTGGGCCCGAGTTTGGTCATCGACAGTAGAGAAGGCTGCACTGGGCGGGTCTAGCATTCAGGAGATGATTCCAGAATCCCTAAAGACTGTAGAGCCCCAGCTTCTCATTTCACAGGTGGAAGACAAAGCCACAGTTGGGTGGTGTCCCCTGCCCAAAGCCATTTGTGTTAGCTGCTAAGGGGGAAAATGCCAGCCTACCTGAATGAGCCTCTCACCGCTTCCTTCCCGTTCATGATTTCTACTTCAACACGTTCCACCTCTAATTCTCATTTTCTCTTTTCTTTCCCATCTGTCTTGTTGCTTTTTTATTTTGGGGGGGTGGTGGACATGCTGGCCTGTGCTGTCCTCTCCCCACTCCATCGTCTCCCTCCACCTGTCTGCTTCCGGCGCCCGACTCCATCACCCGCGGGACGGCGCTCTTCCCGCACTTGGCCACACGGTCGCCGGGCACCCCAGTCGCTGGCGGAGCCGCTACTACGGGAAAGGGCGTGACAGTCGCCTGGACTTTCAGAACTCCTGTCCGGCTCTGGAGGAATAGTGTGTCTTCCGTTATTCCGCTCGTTCTCTGCCTGTTTGCACCCCGCTTCCTGTTCTCTGTCTGCGTCCGCTTCCCCAGTTTCCTCTGTTCTGTTCTCCTAAGCCAAAGTGATGTTCCTGTAGGCAAAATGGCCCCACACAAGGGGTCCTACAGGCTTGTATGTGTCTCGCAGGGCTGAGAGGAGGCCCACAGCACGTGGCAGGGCCTCCGTCCACCCACTGTGGCGGATGTCGGCTTGTCCCAGGGTGGAAGCGAACTCGGGAGCCTTGGTCCAAGGCCAGGGCACCCTTCAACCAGAGCTTAAAGAAGGGAACACAGTAAGCGGAAGGAGTGAACTTTCAGGAAGTCTGGTTTGATAGTCAAGGGCTGAGGGGCCACGGGTCCATCGGCCAACCTCTGTCTAAGCATCCTGTGACTGTCCCAGGGAGCATGGGACAGGCACTCTGTGCCGGGTCCCTTCTGAGCCCTCTGCACTGCCAAGCCTGAGATGGAGCGGGGATGCCTTTCTCCCTCTCTGCAGGGAAAGTGGGCCCCCTGCCCTCTGCCCCAGCCAGGCCTCTGCCGCTCCATGGGCTCGGCTTCTGACTCTGTTCTCCTCTCTTCTCTCTCTCCCCGTAGGTTGTAGGCCTGGCTGCCTTGCATGCACCTGGGGCTTTCCTCCTCCTAATCGACACTCGGCACCGTGACTTCCGCTCAAGTGCCAACTGACGTGCGCGCACTAACCCAGGGGATGCGATCTCTGCCGCTCCAGGCCTCTCTCCCGAGACTTCTTCTTTTGCTTTGTTTGTTTTTTAAAACCAGCGTCCTCCCCCTCTCCATGGCCCGTGTGTCCCAGAATAACTGCCATCCACGAGGACCCCCTAACAGCCCCCCCACCCCACCCAGCAGAGCTGCCTCCCCTGTCCAGGACTTTATCCTCTAACTCTGCCTCTGTGGGGTGGCGCCGGTGTGTTTGGGCGGTCCTGTCTCCCCACTAACACCTCCGTGAGGTCGACTGTCTCCGACCCCGGAACCTGGCTGGGTCCACAGTGCAGGGGAGGGCTTTTGCTTGGCTGTTAACCTGCAAGGTCTTGTCTGGCAAGGAGTGGGATGATTTCAGAGCTGCCCAAGGCCAGTCCCATCTGGGGGCATTGGGTCCCATTGCTGTGAAAGACACTGGCTGGGAAGGGCTTTGTCCCCAGCAGTGCCCTCCGGAAAGTGGTCTTAAAAATAAAGGGGGCCTGTTGCCAAACAGTTTCACTGATGAGAGCAAAGTTTCTGCTGCTGATCCCCACAGACAGAAAGTACCAGACCCCAGTGAGCGTTCATCAAGAGGGTGGCTGAGAGGCTACACGCAGTCACTGGGCTGCTTCCCAGATGCAGGTTCCTGGGGTTCCCCCAAACTGAATCCAGGTCCCTGGAGGCGGGCTCTAAGAGTCTGCATTTCTACATTACCCCCCAATGTTTGGGGACCATTTCTGAAAGGATTGTGTGAGGCTACTCTCTCGGTACTTGGGGTCCGGTTTCTTTCTTCCCCCAGTTGCTCTCGGAGCAGAGCTCTCCTGGGCCACAAGTGAGACAGTAGCTCAGTCGAGGCCATGGCAGTGAGAGCAGGCCAGGCGCCAGGCACTCCGAGACTGAGAAGTCCCCGCCCCCCCCGGGAGGGTATGTGACCAAGTCTTAGCCCTGAGACCAAGTCTGACCAGGAGCAGCTCTGCTAAGGCTTGCTTCTCGCTGGGGGCAGGTCCTCTGTGGAGCTTGTGAAACAGGCCCGCTCCTTGGCTAACATTATCCTACTTCCGATCAAGGCCAGTGGGGCCGTAACCCATGTTTTTGTTCCTCTTTGCAGCATTAACAGCAGCAAAGTTGTACCCCGGTTTGAAAGGTTTGGCTTGGGTGTCCTGGAGTCCAGTAATCCAAAGATGTAGCCAGCCGTGTGGTTTTTCTGCCGATTTCTTTTCTTCTTAAATGTGTTTCTAAAGCCTCCAAACAACCACCATGCCACAAATGAAAACACTCTTCGAAACGTCAGTCCACCCTCCTAAGTGGTGCAGACCAGGAGTGTGAGTCCTTGACTCCGACCCGTCCATCCAGGGAAACATCCGGCCGGCGTTAGAGCCACACCTGCTGTTTCTTCTTCAAGTGATATCACCACCAACCAGACCTGCCCCGAAAGGCAGCGAAAGTTTACATGGATGTTTCTGGGGCGTGAACTCAATGCTTCACAATAGGTAATAATAAATGGTGGCCACAGGGGCACACTGGCACCACTGGCCAGGATGGTGGGAGTGGCCTTCACCTCTGGAGGACCATGGTGGTGGTGAGGAAAAGGAAGAAAAACACCATCCTTGTGGCTGTTCTTGGGGTCGGATGGGGACCACAAGGTTTGACCTGGACTCTGCTTTGGCCCCAAACCCCAGAATGTCCCTCTGTAGGGTTCTCCCCCTATCCTAACAAAGGGACACTGTCCCTTTTTCTTCTGGCAGAGGAAACCCTGGCTAGGAACCAAGTGGGATTTTGAGGGTCAGGAGTTCCCAGAGTGCGTGGGTTCCCTTTTGACCCCAATTATCCAGCCTGTCCCTGCTGGAAAAGTGAAGACAGATTAAACCCAAATAATGTCTGGATTGATCCAGGGGCTGCTGGCCAGGATTTCCAGCACCTGTAGACAACTTTCTCTCACACAGCTTCCAGGAAGACCCCAAGGAGATGGTACTCAGGGCTTCAGCTTTTTAGACACATCCCAGTCCTGGCTGAGATTTGACCCCAGAGCTAAGGCCCAGCCCCGCAGCTGCACGTACCATGAGGGCTTGCACCCAGGAGAACAAAAAGGGGAGCAGGAGGGAGAAGTGGCAGGCAGCGGGTTCCTGAGCTCACCCTCCCAGCCACAGGGTGACCTGGCTCTTCAGAAACTCCATTAGTCATGCCAAGGTTCTGGAATTGCCCACCCCTTCTCCTCCAGTCCTGTTGAAGGCCCGGAGCCACTCCTGACTCTTCCACTGTCCTTATTCTGAGCCCTTAGCTAAGACGGGAGGCCTGTGCCCCTCCACACTGTTCATGCAGACCCACCTAGTCCACCAGTCCTCAGAGCCTCCCCTGAACCGTGTCAGGACATCTACGTGTGTATATTTGCACCAGAAGGAGGGGCTTGACTGGGGAAAGTCCGTGAAATGAACATATTCTGCCTATCTTCATTAGAAGCTGTCACCTCAAGAGAACAGTTCCAGATGACAAAGAAGCCTTCAGTGGGTGTTAGGCCATGGTAGGCCTCAAACCAGAACCGACCAAGGGTGATGAGGGTGGAGATGTAGTTGGATTCAGACCCAGAACGTGTGACCATGCTCTGAGCCAAGATGGGGGGGGGGGCATGTGGCCCTCCCATCCCTATCATTTAGACCTACCTAGCAGAGCTCCCAATTTTCAGAGCCTTCTCTGAGTCTGGCCAAAAGGTCATACGAAGCAGGCCACTGACCAGAAGTGGTGGGGCTGCCTTCCTGACTCCAGGTCCGACGGCCCTCGGCTGACCCTCGCCTGGAGAGCACAGCTGTGCAGCAGTGCGAGGTATCCAGGCTCCCGCTGCCTATCAGCACCCCAGACCTGAGCTCCTTAACCTTTCCCAGTGAGGGTGTGGGCAAAACGAGAGCTGTAAGCCAGGCGGATTCAGCTCCTGGTAGGTGTTCCATCTTCTTTGGGGCTGCTTGCTTCATCCCCTCGTCTCTTGGCCTCCCCGATGAGCGTCACGCCTGCAGGTCAGTTCAAGAAGCTTTCATCGAACACCGACGGTGTCTTGCCCAAGTGCAGGGGACGCTGTGATGGGAGCAGTGACAGCCCCTGCCCTTAAGGAACTAACACTGCCAAGAACCCTGAGGGGGAGCTGAAGGTGTGGAGGACAGTCCCTTCATCTTCAGGACCCTGGACAGCCAGCCAGCTCTTGGCTTAGCCTCTGCGCTGCCTGCCATTTAAGAGAGACTTGGTCCCCTACTCCCTCTCAAAGTGACTGTGAATTGAGGTTGGGAAGACATGCTTGCTCTTCTGTGTGCTCTCCCGTCTGCCGTGGAAACACATGAAGGACGGCCAGATACTGTGAATTCAGTGCTCACAGCCGACTGTGAAGGGGATGGCAGAAGCTGGGACAGCGTCCCCAGTGAGAGCTCTGGGGGCTGTAGAGGTCCCCACTGAGGTCTGAGAATGGAGCCCAAGCTTTGGTCCTTTGCAGCACACCTCCAGTCCCAGGCATCCCCTCCAAAACCCTAGGGCCCGTGTCCCTGCTGCCTTTAACCCCCAGAGCCACAGCCGCTGGCTCTCCATTCAACTCGAGGTCTTCAATCCTAGCAAGTTCCCTGTTGGTCGTGAGCAGTGTAGCAACGTTGACCTCTCTATGTCACCAGATCAGTTCAGAGTGCTGGAATCCTGTCCTCTCATGGCATTCTCCTTGTCATCACAGGGAGCAGCCATGTGCCCTGTAAGCCTGCATTGCTCTTGTTCCATGTTGATTAGGGGGCTGGGTGGAGACATCAATGTGAAGCCGTTTCTGGAGCTCGTGTGATGCTACAGTGTTAGCCCGGATGTCATTCACGTGTGTGTGTAAAACCAGCGTCTTCCGTGGCCACAGGCACACACTTGCTTTTTTGAATGTGATGTAAAATTTGTACAGTAAAAGTTTTTATATTTTCTATCAACTGCATTTGTCTTCCAGAAATGCTATTAATTTAAATTAAAATGGTTAGTATTAATGAACGCGCTGTATCGGTTTTTTTGCCACTGGCAAGAACACATCCTTTGTGCCAGGCCTAGCCTGGGTGTCTGGAGTTGGTGAATAAAATTGTACCAAGGTGTCTGGGGCTTGTGTCTCCTTGGGTCAGTTCCAGATGGGCATGGGGAGCTGCTCGGATGGATGGCATGAGGGAACAGGAACGGGGCTGGGGAATCGGATCCCCTCTAGGAGCTCCTTCCAGAGAAGGTGTCCGTGGACCTGGAATTCAGACGGAGGAGTGGAGACAGAATGGCATCAGATGGACAAGAGAATGGTCATCCAGCCTCCAGCACTAACAGCTCATGAGCAGACCCAGACCCGGGCTAGAGTTGTCTTCGCCTCATGGAAGCTGTCGGCGTAGGGAGTGGAGTGCTCATTTATCTGATGCTTACTTCTCGGAGTTTCTCCTTGCCAGTCCTGTAGAGAGGCTTTGAAGGTTGAAGTAGGCGGTACAGATGGAGGAGAAGGAGAGCTGACACTCGCAAGCCCCTCCTCAGCCAGGGAGGGCTTTCTATCCACCGTCCCCCACCTCAGTGTATCCGTCACAAGCACACCATGAGGCAGGAATTGTGATGTTTCCGCCAAAGAAATTGGGGCATGAGAGGTTAAAATACCCAAGAGGACACAGCTGGAAGGTGGTTAGTCCAGGACGCGGCCCAAGGCTTTGACTCCAGAACTTCCTCTCCACAAAAGTCAAGGAACTGACCAGTTGGACATTTACTGAGCATCTGTGCTCTGAAGGTGGCACTAAGCATTGGAACATGTAAAAAGGTGGTGGTGCCCTTGCCTTCAGCTATGAGCCCCTGAGTGGCCCAACGAAGGGGTCCCGCAGTCTGCCTGGCAGGCTTCGTGGAGGAAGTGGCCTTGGAGCTGACTTGGATGGTGAGTAATACGCCTGGTGCAAAGAAACAAGAGCAAGGCATTGTCCCCTGGAGGAACAGCTTATGCAAAGGCTCAGGGGTCTGGGAACACATGGTGTGCTTGGGGAAATCATGAGTATTCAAGCTGTTGTACAATGGAACTGGTGGGGGAGGGGCGGTTAGGTTGGGGCCAGAGAGGATCCTGTAGGTGCTAAGCCAAGGAGTTAAGGCTTAAACACAGCAGCCCTGGGGAGCCATGGAAGATTCTTGAGCAGGAGAGGGTCCTAATTATATTTATGTCTTAGATACCTAGGAGGGACTGGAGCGGGGCCAAACTAGAAGCAAAGGGTTGGTGACCTGAGCTTTGATTGGATGTGGGGGGAGAGGTGAGCGTCCGGGTTAACTCCCCAAATGTCTGCTTTCCTGCTGGTAGAGTCAGTCACCGAAAAGGTGAGTCTGTGGCTGAGGATCAGGGGAGGGTCAAGCTCAGGAGCATCCGGGTGAGGTCCGCATAGGCAGAGGGACGTTGCCCAGCAACACACCTTGCTGAGGAAATGAATGTAAGGGTGCAGATTAGGAAAACTAAAAATGTGACCTCATTCTTGAGGACTTAGTGGTAAAACTGAGGGAGGGTCCCCAGTTACGGAGACTTGGGGAAGGTGCTTTTTTATAACTGCCATACCCAGCATGCTTTCCCTAGTGATTTTTGAGATGACACCCAGCTGCTAGGTTTCTTTTTCTTTCTTGATAGGCCGTTTTTTTTTGTTGTTTGTTTTTTTGGTTTTTTGTTTTGTTTTGTTTTTGTTTTGAGGAAGTGCAAAATAAAAGCAATGGAAATCTGTTTTCCCTAGGGCCTCGGAGGGGTGAGGGTAGAAGTTAGCCAGGGCAGTGAGGCTCTGGTGGGAGTCCCTTTAAGAGCCCTGGTTGACTGGGAAAGGGGGAGGGAGCATTTGCACACAGTGGCTCTTTGGCACATCGTTCAGTATCTAACATTATTTACCTTTGTACCCTGAAAGCGGATTTTTGTATGCTATTCCAGTC